CCCTGCACAGCCTTCCCCTTGAAATTCCTGACCCCGAGAGTCAGTAAAAGACGAAGGGAGGAGAGCGAAGGCGCTTCATCTCTTTTAAGTCGGACCAGCTTTTTGTGAACCTGGAACCGCTATGGACAAATATGCAGCAGGTCCACGAGGTCAAGCCACTAAATACTTTGCTCGCTCAGATGATTGTCGGTGACCTCATTCTATACGTTTGTCACAGGGGATGAGGCTTGAGCTGCAGTGGGCATATTCTCAGTGACAAGGTTGTGTGTCATGCTATGTGTAAGTGAAGCCATGCATGGACCTTTTCCGATGTAGTCACTCTGTGTGGTGGCAGTGTGATTTACTATTTGTTTCTTTATAAATGTACACACACCTTTACTCTCAACCCTTCTGACGTCAGGTTTCAGTCAGTCATGTCTTTCAGCTGTTAGTGTGGCTTTAAATGGCAACTTCAAAGGATCTGTGAAGCCATATCTAACTTAAAATTACTCTTTTGATTTAAAACTTTTAAATAGTGTGCACTTGGGTTGCAACTACTGTAATATTATTTTCATTATTGATTATTCTGCTGACTTTTAGTCACTTTGGCAGCTCTAGTCTAGTCTGAGAGTAGATAATCTCTTAATTATGCAGATAACAACCTCTGAGTGATGACTTTTGACTGTATGTACGATAAGTGTTGTCAGCTTTCTTCCACAAATATTGTAAAGATAATGCCTCAAAAAAAGAAACTAAAATAATTCTAAATTTCCTTTTGATAATTTCAAACTCCCCAGCAAGAACAACCCCCTCGACCTGCCCTGTGAAAAACTAACCCTGGATGTTAAATTAAATGTACTGGCAGGTATCAGTGCAGTGTGTGGATCTTTTGTTTAGTTACCTTTCTTTTGCTGACGTGCTCCCTCCCGCAGATCACCCTCCAGCTCGACCAGCTCCATTTCCTGGGGGGTATTGGGTGGTGTGAGCAGGCAAGATGGGTCCAGTGCCAGGCTCTTGTGGTAGCCCGTGTCAGTCTGTCCTGGAAGGGCATTCTGCAGCTCCAGGTTCTTCAGTTTCTGGGTCAGCACTGCCTCACAGCTGCTCAGGTCACCATGAGATTCTCGAGTCTGAGCGAGCTCTGCAGAGGGGGAACTGTCCAGGTCTGCCTCAGGGGAGAGACAGGTAACTGTGTCAGAGGCCACCTGATGGTCCGGATTCTGGACAGCTCTGACAGAGGGTGAGGCCGCAGACTGGCTGTCTGTGGTCATCCCATTGGGAGCCTGAGTTTGAGGGATACAAATACAATCAGTGACTGATACAGAAACATCAGTGTCATGTTCTCTGACTGATGCTGGCTTCTCATTATGTTTTTGAGGTCTGTGGTCAGAGAGCTTGTTACCTCCACATCAGGTTCAGCTTGGGCGTCACTGTGGGGGAGCTGGCAAATGAACTCCTGTAGATGACGGAGCTGTTCAAACAGAGCTGGCTCTGTGATGGGTTTACCCAGCTCCAGGTGAAACGTGCTGCTGGGCAGGATGAGCGGCGGGTGTTTGTCGAAGTTCTCAAGGATATCGGCTGCATGACAAAGAAAAAGGCCTGCCTGTTATCACCCCCACACAAATGATCCAAGCTTCTTGACAACTTTCTAATAAGATTCAACCCCCTGTAAAGCTACTGTATTTGGGTTAACACCTAATAAAGAGAAAAAAAAACTCAAAAATATAGACTTTATATGAAATACAGTAAGAACAATAATGATAAACAAATGAGACTGCAACAAGTGTAAATTAATAAAAAACATGCCTTTACATTAGATTATATAGCATGGGGTTTATTAGCTGATGTTTCAGTAGCACTGTTTTCTTCAGAGCTTATGAGCAGACATCAGATCTCTTTTTGCAACAAGTTATTATACTTGTTGAGGTCTCTGTCATTTATCATAAAGCCTTGTGCAGTCAAGCATGCTAGCTGTCAAGTCTGAACATGCATGAAATAACAACACAGTGTTGCTGCTCAAAGAGGAGCCTGGTTACAGCAGTTTACAGTAAACAAGGTCATCCTGTAGGTAAGGACAGCTTTGGTAAACAGAAAAGGAGAAAAAGATAGTTTCATAATCTAAAATTATAACATTTTAAAACACTCATTTATTTTAAATCAGTGCAGATTAGAGCTGCAATGATTAGCGATTTAGCAGTTCTTTTCATTACTGATTAATATGCCAATTATTTTGTCCCACTAACAGATTGATTGTTATCTCTAAGAAATGTAAGAAAATCCCCACAGCACAACACGAGCTACTGTATCTTTAGATACTGTAGCTTGTTTTATTCATCTAAAAGTCCAAATCCCAAAGTCATTCAGTTTACAATGATATAGAAGAAAGCCCTCTAACTGGAGAAACTGGAACTATAGAATTTGTGGCACTTTTGTTTGAAAAACTGTCTTTAGTTGATTCCAAACTGATTTCACTTCTAAAGTGTTCTTCTATCACCCACCTGTCCTGACAGTGTCCTCAGCATCGTCCAGTGTTGGGGTCCATCCAGTGGGATAGACTTTACCAGAGTTATACTCCCTCAACATGTGGTGAAGCTGAGCGGGGTTCAAGGCTGCAAACTCAGTCCTGAGAGAAGCCCAGGATGACTGAAGGAAAAAAGAAAAGAAAACATGTAAAACTGACAAACACAAAGCAGATCTCTTCTAAAAACCTTCATGAACTTAAAATACAGGAAAAACTACAAACGATCCATTGATGGTTTCGTTTTCAGAGCGAGCCACAAAAACGCATTGTAGTTGTCATGAGAATGACAGGGTGGGATAAACAAGTATGTTCCCATCACTGTTGTTTCCATACAAAGAAATCAAAGTCATTGCTACTCTCTCATTTGCACTCAAAGCATTTAAACCAATAACATGATCTAGTAAATAGTCTTTTCCTTTGTCACCCCTGGCCAGATGTGGTAACGAAGTCTCTTGGGAAAATATTTCTCTGAATGTACAATAATGCTGGTAAATACAGTAGCATCTCAGATAGTCTCATGCCACTGCAGCTTTCCTTCATAGCCCTATTTTTGTGTTTATTCTGTAGTGCAATAAAAGACGAGTGCCGGATTTCAGTTAAGTATTGATAATTAACAAGTCAGCCTTGTTCTGTGCAGTGTGAGCAATGTAAGCTTTTCATTATCTCTCCACTCTGCCTCTCAGGTTGCTGTGAAAGCCCTTAGCATGACATATGACTGGTTCATGATGTTGCAGCCTTTCTCACTCAAACACACTTGAGAAAGACAATATTTGAACTTTTGACTACTGGAAGTAGCTGAGGGACAAGAAAGCAGGTGAGTCATTTTCCAGTGACATTACTGTGATTATTACAAGACAAACATTACACCAGTCATTCACTCTGTTTATACTTGAACTATGGGAAGTAAGACTTTGCTCAGGCATGCAAGGGCCACAATAGAAACCATTATTTAATGTTGTTGAGTCCCTGCCCTTCTCTTATAACACAGAGGCAGCACTTGTCTGTGTTATACTGTAAGTACAAACTCTTTAAAGGCTGCTCATAAACAGCAGAAACTTAATATATGTCTCTATTTGTTATGTCTGAGATTTAATGTTTGGCAGTTATATTCTCCCAAAATAACTAATCATATGTTGTGTTGTCCATTACTGTTTGCAAAACAAGCAACACCGAATCCCGTTGGTGTAATTTACAATAAGCCACTTTGGTTCTTAAAACCCCAGAAAACTCCAGATGGCCAGCTAAAATCAGTCGAATGTGTGTGCTCTGTTGCTGCAGCCACAAAGTGATGTCATGCCAGGGCAGGGATACATAAAACCACCAGCTTCTTAGCAAACATCCAGCCTTCAACAGCTGTGTCAGGGGTGGACTGGTGCTGTGTGGTGCCCCAGAGATGCTTCACGCTGGAAACACGACTGGAAGTCATGCAGTGAAAACAGGTGTTAGCCTCAGAGTGTTAAACTAGGCCTCACTCAGATGTAACCCAGTCCCTCCAAATATACTGTAGTATGTAGATCCCACTGACACAAAGCAGATGAATTCAACTTTAAATTTGTTCTGTGCTTAGCACAAACAGCTTAACCATAGAAAATCAAACATTATTTTATATTAGTAACTCCCAACCATGGGTACTTGTGCCACTCAGGTACCTCTGTTCATGTCAGCAAATGTGTGGTTCAACAAATTAACACAACTGAAGTCAGTCATTAGTTTTCATTCTCGCTGTGTCTTCATGAATGTATCAAGCCATAAGCCCTGTATCATATATCGGACCAAATCGTGAGCTGGTTACATTGTTACACCCCTAGTTATAACGTAAATAGATACAAGTATGCAAAAAGTTAGATATGAGTAATAGATGAATAGTCTATAAGGACAAAATAAAAAATAAATGGCTGAAATTGTTAAATTTCATCAGCAGTTTACAGGCTTGGAGCCACAGTTCTGCAGGATTTCCAAAGATGTTTAAAGACGTAAAGAAGCAGTAAAACATAAGCTAACCAAACCGCCCACCCATCTGTGTCAAATGAAACTGGCGTTCTGCCCTTGACTAATGTTTCTTTGGTTTACAGTGATCCCGTGTCCCACATCATCATGCTGTTTAAATAAATACGTCACATTGGTGAAACCTGAGAAGTAAAGCTCTCATGGCATTTGTCTTGTAAAATGGAGAAGGAATTACATGCAACCTTTGAACAAAAAGACATTTCCTTAAGATGATACTTTCTACAAGACACCGTGATAGGTGTGGGGCCACACACAGTACACACTGTATAAGAGGCCTTTTCTGTGGATAGGTTTTCTATTTATAGCATGAGTACACAGTCAACAGTAGTGCATTCAGCAGCTTCCATGATCAGGTACCGAAAACCTGTGACTCAGGAAAAGGTGGTTGTTTCGTACATTTGTATAACCTTTTGTTCAACATTTGTTCTTTATGTGTCATACCTGGGCAGTTTTATGTGTTGGTTTCTCTTTATGACTCTGAATACATCACTGTTTAATGACCACCAAAGTGAGACCTCAGCTTCGCTCTGTGGTTCGAAGTGAAAGCAAGATTTGAATGGGTAACGAAAAAGAGGAGGGACTAAGTGTTAATTAAATTGGCAAGTTACTGCTATACAGAAAAGTTTAGGTGCAAGCAAAAGCAAATATAAACTCCTTCTATTGATGTAAAGTATTATTTAAGCGATACAGTTGTTCATGAACATACACCGAAATAAAGGTTTTAAAATGTCTGCTCTGACGTATTTCTGGTCTTTGAAGATTAAGATGCCACTTAAACTCCTATCCACATGTTTCCACTTGGGTTACATGAGTGTAAACTGGATTTAACCTGATAATACTTTACAAATTAACTGGCTAACAGGATATACTCGGGTCTAGTGTATATGACTTTAAATAAGATACAGTGTGATGATGGCCAAACTGTCAAGGGCACCATGACATCATCTTTTTAGTGTTATTTACTTACTCTGCTCCTGCAGGTTATTTCCTCTTATCTGATCAATGAGCACTGTATTATGGAAGCTTAAGTGCAAATGTTCTCAAGGCTACTATAACCATAAACCCATAACATGCTTCCACACACTTGGCAGCTTTATAACATTTTTAGAATTATCACAATGTTTGGCAACAATACAAAGCTGCAGAAAGGAGCAGGGGTTACTTTGCTGCAGTGGAAAGGGTTATTGAAAGTTCAGTTTTCCAAAGTTGGGAGGTTTTGCACCTAATACATAAACATTCATATAGTAACTAATGTTGTACTGACACCTTTTAAAACAATGAAAACCTTCTGGCTGACGCAAACTCGTACCTTGGGGCTACACCCGCCTGCAGTAAGACAAACAGCAAAGGAGAAATAGATGTCCTCTGACCTGCAGGAGGGTTTCTTTGGGTGTAGCCAGCAGATTGACAGCAGCAGAAAGCTTCTGAAAATACTCAGTGGCCAAATCACCCAGACCGATGCTCTGGATCCAGTCCATCAACAGGTCCAGGTTGGCCCGGATCTGAACACCTCTGGACCACTGGTAGAACCCAGCAACAGATCCTGAACAACAAAGTAGTCATAGATTAGCCTTAACACAGAGAATTATCAATATGACATATTGTATCAGGATGAGTTTTTTTTTTTTTTTTTTTTTTGGAGATTTTAGATTTAGTAACAGAACGGGACTGTAATAAAATAAGAAATATAGCAATTGTAGTTTGGGGTAAACTAGAGCACTTAAATGGTAGCTCAAATATATAATCTACTGAGAACACATTACCTGCTATGGAATTATTTTTGCAGGTCATAAACCAAAGTACTGGACATTTTGACCCGATGATTCACTAGGTGAAAATTCAGAGGCTTACCAAGGTTATTTCAATTTATCCTCAGGGAAAGTGTGTGTGTGCAAATCCAACAAATAGCTGCTGAGATATTTCAGTCTGGGCCAAAGTGACAGACTGACCGACAGATCAACACCGCCATCCACTGAACCGTGCAGCTACAATGGATAAAAACCAGAGTTCGAACAGGTCTAACAGGTTCCTCCATATGACACAATGAGCTTACCTCTCTCCATGAGGGCGTTGAACACTGATGCATTGATGAAGAAGAACAGGTAGGCACAGAGCTGTAATGAGATGTCTGGATGCACCTGGAAAGCAGTGAGAAGCAGCAGGGCCTCCTTCAGCACTTCCAGGATGCCACTGAGCCCATCAGGCACTCGCAGCTGACCACTCTCTGAGAATGGGTTCCCATCCAGCAGACTGGGCAGTCCCGGATACATACTCTGTGGACAGAGATGGAGATATTTTACAGCTCTGCTGTAAAGATCACCTGAATGTTACGAGCCTCTGAAGTGCAACTCTACTATGACTGCTCACAATATACACATGTTACATGTAGACATAACCTTCCTTTGCCTTAACATGATTTCTGATTGGATAAAGTACAATGGAGTTAGGTAATTAAGGCAGTAATGTTTTTTTCTATTGTGACTTGTTTAGTGTTGCTGTGCACAGAATATAAATGATATAATGTCTCAAAAAGAGGAAGACATTCTGAGTATACAGGAAGCTATGCAGGAAAGCTTGTGTTTTGCAACACAAAGGGCAGCTCTAGGAAAATGAATGTTGCTCTACTCCAGTTATACTGTAGTTTTAGTCAATCCTGTAAACTGTATCTAAGTCCCAAAACAAGGTTCTAAACTAGAATTAAAACAAAGGACATGCAGACTTGAAATACCTTGGTACCTTTATGTGTTTTAATATTAATACATTCTTACCATGTCAGTTTTAGGACAGAAATCTTAATTTTGTTAAAGAAGTGAAATTATTGCCGAAAAGTTTTTTTCTTCTACTTCGCACTTTAAAATTTCACATTGACAGACATTTTTGGGAAATCTGATTTTAAGCAAAACAGAAGAAAGGCGCTGTTCATCTGGAGGAAATATAAATAAAGGTTTTTCCTAAAACCATGTAGAAATATATGGCTACCAGTCACCTCAGGCATAGCCTTGTTTAGAATGTAAAGAAAAGCTACAATAATTAATAATTTGATATTAACACCAACTCACACAACTGTGTGCCAAGTGAAATACTGTAGGTACTAATATGATCAATCCCAATGAAATTCAACACCCCAGTCTGCTACTCAAGCATTCAGTTTTGTTTCACTTGACTCGCTGATATAAAACTGGACGGGAGCTCTCAGCTAAGCACTGAATGACAAAGACAGGAAGTAAGTGAGTGTTTGGTGAAGAGAGCTGAACATCTAACAGGCCTAGCAGAGTTTGTTTTTCCATGTTCTCCATTTCCCTATCAAAGTTTTCTTTAAAGGACATGCTCAATGTCATAACAACGTAGAAACACAGGACTTTGTCAGATAACGGCTGATCCTCTGTCTCTGTTATGACATTTGTTTCAATTATTTCAGCTTTGTTTCTAATAAATAATGTTCACTTTAGTCAGAACATGATTACTCATAGTCATAGATTAGATTATTGATTAACTCAATTTAAAAGTGAGTTGATTTGTGTTGTCGACTGCGTTTTGAGTTTTCTCAGCAGCGTAATCTTTAGCACTCGCCCGCTGTTATTGGTTCACATGACACAATTTTACACATCATTGTTAACTTCTCCCCCTAAGCGTGACTGCTCTGATGTGTGGACAGTCAATTGCAAGCACTAGTTGTAAGAACACGTAAGCCAACACGTTAAAGCTCTGTGAGTTTGTATTCAGATCTACTTTCAGCTCTCTAGTGCTCAGTCTTCACTCGATGCAGCTTTAAAAATGCTGAATGTACTACAGCATCTTAATAAGAGTGTTTGATGGAGAAACAAGGAGCTGCATACTGCACTACTGCACAGTATAAAATGTTACCGAATTATCTTGGGAGTGTTTTTATTGAACGCCACCTCAAAGTCAGTTCTCACAGGCCCGGCTCTTATCACACTTCGATTTCTGACACATGCATGACATTACCATTAGGTACATACAAACAGACACACACATACACACCATGACTAAGATAATGACAAACAGCTTAACAGTGAGACTCAGCAGACTAATCTGGAAGTGAACTGCAGGGAGGCAGTGAATGTTAGAAGTTTTTTCAACACGCAAAAAGAATGCAAATAGTTTTTAAAACACATGCAGGGTTACACATTTTCTGCACACCTGTATGTCCCTTTGCAAACCCAGTAATGCAAAAATTCCCAAACCTTTCCTTGTTTCCTGTGTGGTAAATATTTGTTGCATTAATGCCCTTTGGCCCAGTTTATTCATATTCTGATTTAGCCAGAAGGAAAAAAAAAAAAAAAAAGACGTAACGAAATTGTACGTGTATTCAGTCATATTTTACAGGAAATTAACAGAAAGACCCTTTTCTCCTCCTCCCTTCCTTCCTCTTGTTTGTTTTTTCTCTGAGGACGGTTTGTCTTCGTCTGCAGGAAACAGACCCACAGCTACAAATCCCCCATTTTTCTCAAACAGAAAAACAATTACTACCAAACACCTACATAAATAATGCATTGTCTTTAATTAGGAAAGCAATGGCAGCACGTTACTGCTTTGACAAAGTTGGAGCATACTGATTAACAAGCTTTGAAAGTGGCAAACACAATGTGACAAATTGCCACTGAAGGTTGAAGAGCAAATACTGTACAGTATAATGTCCTTTTTTTCTGTGCTAGCTGTTTTGCAGCACCAGCAGAAATATGTTTACGTATTCAACAGAGTGGCACAGACTGTTCCTGCCTGCTTCCCTCCCTTCCTCAGTCACTGTGCATGGTGGTGGTGTTTCTACAGACTCTGCTGTTACTCACTGTCTGTGCTGTGATATCAGCTGGATTCTGCATAAACCGGTCAGATTTTAATGACCACTTTAGCATGGGAAAGTCATGTAAATCTAACCTGGAAGTGTCCTGCAGGCATGTAAGACAAGATAGTTGATGGTTCTCATTCATGTGTCACAAAAAAAGAAAAATCTAAGCACACATTAAGATTTCCACACTTTAAAAAGCCTGTATAAAAGTGTGTATTCAATTTAAGGGTTGCCAGAGTTTTAAAGGCCATAAAGTAACTGCAACTGTAGAAACCGGTCAGATTTTAATGACCACTTTAGCATGGGAAAGTCATGTAAATCTAACCTGGAAGTGTCCTGCAGGCATGTAAGACAAGATACAACATAGATCAATATCAGTTAAGATCAATTATTTTTCCCAATTCCTTCTTCCTCTGCTTTTGTGTCCTGTAGTGTATCCCCAAGGCTCAGTCTTAGGCCTCATTTTATCTCCATTATATATGCTTCCACTGAGGTTGGTTAATAGAAAATATGGCCCTCTCCACTTTGACGCCAGGTGACCACACAATCTTCAGTTGGATTGCTGGATGTCATTAGTGAGTTTAGCCTGTTCCATTTTGGATACAATTGCTAAAAAGCAAAATACCTGGAAATGTTAAGCTCCCAAGTCTCAGAAATCTCTCCTCAATATGCTTTATCAGCAATGACCAACACTGAACTCATGCAGAGATGTTCATGGTGGTTCTCACCAAATCATGCATCCTGTCTTTGTTATTCAACAAACCAGCAACATGGGTTATATTTATGTTAGTGGAAAACAGACTGTGCTCACTATCTCACAGGTCTTTACTGAGAGACAGTCAGTGTGTCTGTTCTGTCTGGAAAACATTCAGTAAAAACAGAATATGGTGTTTACACAGTCCGATTTCCTGCTTCACATGTACTAAGATTTTACAGGTCAAAAGGCTGTGAAACATGTTGATGTCATGTGTGAACTTAATGCCGTCTTTAAGATTAAACTGTATATATTAGTGTGTTGCAACCAACCTTTGTTAAATAGTAAACAGATTGCTGGAAGGTGAACATGATGACTTCTTCCAAGACTGTCATGGCTTCTTCACAGGCTGTCTGAGTAGAGGACATCTCTGAGTCCAGCAGACCTGACAACAGTTCACATAATTCTTAATAATACAAACAAAAACACTGCAGGTCCAACAGACGTGAGAATAACAGATAATCACCTTCATCATCCTGGTCCTGCCTCCAGGGCAGCAGCTGGGGGACTTCATGCTGGATGAAGTGGAGCAGTTCAATGGAGTTGGCCATCCACAGCACCAGCGGCTGCAGACCTGGTATCAGCTCCTCCATGCTGAGCAGGTGAAGATGATCAGGCTGCCTATCACTGGAGCTCCTGCTGTAAAAGCACAATGAGAGTGATAGTTGTGCAAAGTCTTTCATCTAAAACACTCACAAAAGTAGACTGTTTATTCTCTTGAACCTATCTATTTTGATTTTAATTCCTCTAATATTTCTTCAGATTAGCAAAACTTTACAGGTATGTGCAGTTAAGCAGAGTTACAGCAACTATCTACTTGTCTTTATGAATCCTCTCTTTGCACAGCCTGCATTTAAGAAACATTTTGTTTTCTGTAGGAGCAGGCAGTAATATAATCATATTTCTCAACTCCCTTTTTCACCCAGACAGTAAGATTTGAGTTTGTCAGGTGTCATGTGTCATCGCAGGCAGCAGAGCGGTAATTGCCATGCACCAGTGGGACACCGAAAACACTTGTGGTTTGTCTACTCACATTTCTGGTTTGATTGCTGCAAGTTTCTTTGTCTTCTCCTGAAATGGAGAACCCAAAAAGAAATTATTGCTTACTTGAAATTATGTGGCAAATGTCAGTTATCAGATGACAGAAAGAAAGAACACTGTTTCATGCTTACCCACATAACAACCTGGATCTGGCTGGCTATCCTGAGGAGCAGCTGTCTAAATTGTGTCAGCTCAAATGCGGAGGCTGAGTGCTGGATGCAAAGGCTCAGTAGGAAAGCTGGTGTCAGCTTTGGTTCTTTCCCACTGGGGTCCAACATTCTCAAAATCTCCTGCAAGACTCTGTCCTCCTGCTCCAGTTCATAGCTTAGCAAAGCCTCTGTGCCTTCCAGGTCCCTCCATCGAGGTGGTAAAGGCTTCCTCTGGAACCTTTTCTTGGCAATAGAGGAGCCACATAATAAACAAGAGGACGATCCTTTTGTATTAGAGTTTAGACAGAGTCTGGTCATCCAAGGGGGGATGTGGAGGGATCCTGATGTGCTGGTAGGATCCTTAAACATGAACAGGTAGTGCTTCCCCAAACCTACCAAGTCCCCTGGGTTCAGTTCTGCTTCCTCTTTAAGGAGAAAACCGTTTCTGGTCACAGGAGCCCCATGGATGGGCTTCAGCATTGTCAATGTCTTTTTGCTCACTCCTGTGGATGTTTGGGTGTTGGAGTCCAGTCGTCTGACGCAGCAGTGTTGAGGCAACACATCAGGAGCAAAGAGAAGGATGTCGACCTTTAATCTCTCCTCATCTTCTCCATTGCTATGCTCCCGGCAGGAACCAAAAATGGTGGTGGTCCCACTCATCAGGTAAATGACAAAATCCTGCAAAAAGATTGTTTTTAATGAATTTGTCTCCTTTAAAATGTGTTTTATTTCATTTATAGCAGTAAAAATTGCGCAGCAAATTAAAGGTCAGTTGATGCCATTAAATTCCCATTTTGACTGATCAACAGTCCAAAACCCAAAGACGTTTAGTTTCCTATCACATAAGAGAAAGAAAGGCAGCAGATCCTCACAACTGAGAAGATGAAGCCAAGTCATTTTTGGCATTTCTACTAATATCAAAAAATCATATTTTCACAGAGCTCAAGTGATACATTATGTTCAAATTGCTTATTTTGTGCAACCAACAGTCAAAACATTTGACTGTTGGTTGCACATTTTGGAAATAAACCAGCAGTGTGCATGTGAACGGCAGCAGGATCAGCTAGTACAGCCTGCACTGGCAGAGAGAGGTGAGACAGAAATGGAAGGGCTTATGATGTCCATGACCTCAGCGTCACCACATAAAGACTATTAGTCAGGCGATGATACAGTACCATTTCAACTGTGCTGGTCAGAGCCAAGCAGCCTGAGAGGCTTGTGACTAGCAATGTAACAGCAGCCTTAATGTTAGTGCTACTTCACTGTGTGTAGTCTTCTACAAACAAAAGGTGGTTAGAAAAATCTCACAGTACACCAGCAGATACTGGTAGCTAATCATGAAAAAGTCTAGTTTAGACCCATAATGTCCACTTAACTTCATCTGCACAATCTTATGCAATCCAAAACAACTGTTCTGCCATGAAACCTACTTTTATGATGCCTACAATATTCAGTGTTTATAGACGCTGTCATAGAGAGGTTCACTACATTTTTTAGCATCGAGGTTGTAGTTAGTGTTGTTGTACTGGACTGCATTACAGTGGGAAGTGTTTCTAATATTCTGTTCCCCTTTGGTAATTTGAAACACCTCTCACTATAATGTGGTGTAGTGAAATGCCATTTCAGTGATCGCCATAAAACTGAAATGACACATTTGTGACACTGCCACCAAAAGCTGAAGAACATTGCTATCTTTGAAAAGGGAGATGTAATGGCAGAGTTGTTGCATTGAATTGCAACAGATTGTGCATGTGTATATAATTAAATCACCAGACTGCACATTAGGTGAACATGCTTATATGTGAATATTAAATAGTCCTTTTCTGCATATAGGTAGTATAACATACATAATTCTGTCTTGTTCCACCAGCAGTAGCAGGAGCCTACAGCCATGCTAGCAGCTAGCCACTCTGTGAGGTTGTATTCAGACACAGTGGTGCTGTGACCTATTAGTTCAAGATTAGGAGTAAGATTAGACCTGCTGCAGTGCTTACAGTATCCTGCACAGTCAGCAGACTCCATAAACAACACTACGAGTAAGAGCTTCCTTTTCCTGGGGATGGGCTGGGCTAAAGCCACAGCCTGACTCTCTGGTTTGAGCCATGTAAACAAGTGATTCAAAGTTCATCACAGATGAACACAGACCTGTGTTGGAGTTTAAATTTCTGAGACGTTTTCCAATGAGGCACAGTTTAAAAACCCTAGCATATACAAATGATTACAGCACACCAGTTGAAGTGCCCTGTTGAGTGTGCTAATACAGTATAGAGTACTCTAGTTTCAGTGTGGTTCCCCCCTTCTCTACAGCATGTCTTTAATTGGAATTATCTCCTTGTTTCAAATATACAGTTCCATGATTCATCAAGCAAAGACTCACTTCTGTTGCCCTCTGAGCTTACACAGGATGACAGGATCACCTCTGTGGTTTAGGAAATCCACAGTGAATAGTGTGAATTGTGACTGTTTCCTTCCTCTCTGGCCTTTTACAAAGGTAGGGATTTTCTCTTCGAGGTTCTTAACCTAAGACGATCAATCCAGTTCACTTATGTACCTGTTTACACCCTGCTGTCTCTTATAAGCCTGGGTTTACACACTGGCAGGATACTCGGACCTTGTGAGGTCTTAAGTAATTACACTGCCTGTCTGAACAAGGAGTCCTCCATTATTATGGGCAAATTTTCCACCTTACCAAAGAATTTAATCTCCAGTAAGATAAAGCCCTTGACCATCTGGGCACCTTACATCATTGTTTGTGAAAACTCACTTTTTCCCATACACACTAAAACCACACCAATCTAACACTGTAATATTTACACACTGTAAGGACTATTTGGACAAAAATCAGTTGGCTTAATACAGCCACACTCTGAGAGAATAAAACTGTTGGTGTAAAACTGTGATATCTTGTAGGCCAAACCTTACATTTGATAATATGAACTGTACCACTTGGCTGAATTTAGGTAAGAAATCTGCATTTCTCAGCAAAAGGAGAGCAGCTCCTGTTTTCTGGAATAATAATACAACTGCTAGAAACATCTGCTCAGTTGGACAGATGTGCCAGGAAGCACAAATATTTCAACATTTGCTGCTGCCAGTAAAGTGGATAAGTCAGTTACATAGCTGATAACTTTCCTGTTCATTCTATTTGAAGCATGTTTAATTAGCTTGTCTCATACAGGAGCATGACAATTGCTGTGACTGTCTGAAGACGTTACTGTAGTAAAACAAGGCTCTTGCACCGTGTTCGTCAGTGCAATACTTATCCCTCTGAAACTGTGCCAAAATCACGCCACCTTAGTAATAATGTTAATGTTACTAGCAATCAACTACTAAGTTTCAGAGACTCAGTGTTTTAACTTGGTAGCTGCATCTGAATGCTGATATTTCGCAAAGCGCATAGGTCTGTCTTTGTCTGATCCCAATATGAGCGTAATTTGGAACTGTACAGCTTGGGAAATTCAGAAACACAGGTACGCCAACTAATATTTCATCCGTTAAAGTAGTGATCAACATGATTGGCAGTGGGAGGGGCAAAGTCTAACTGATAATGAATATAACTAGGAGTTGCAGTTGTACTTGTACCATAGCTTACCAGTCAAGTTGATCACATTAGCTAATCAATAAGTGGGCAACACTTCCCTTTCTCAGTCTCTTACCTGTCTATGGCTGTAGCCCTGTAGCAGGAGGAAGTACGGGAAGTCAAAAGGTGGGTGAATGGAGTACTGGGTGGTGTTGTCGTCGCTACTCTCTGTCTCCTCCTTCTCTATGCCGAGTCGTTGCACCTCCTTGTCAGCCTCAACCTCTGGATCCTCTCTGAGCGCGCTCTGTTGGAACCGGTTGGCCTCCTTCCCCATCGCAGACAGATCCATCTCACTCAAGCTCCTCCAGATCTCAAGTCTGTCCACATCCTCACTGCTGCCATCCACAAACAGAGAGGTCACTCTGGAGCGGTTCTTCTGCAGCTTACGAGCCTGAGCATTGATACCTGAATTGACATGGAGATGGTGTGTTATTGCTCTGCCCTAGCTGAAAGGTGTTTATTATTTAGAACCTATGGCCAAAGGCATAGACCAAATACAAAATAGAAATTTTTAAGGACTGCCACTTTAGTTAAGGGTGAGATTACAGTATATTTTAAAATAAAACATATTTAGCTAAATGCATAACCAAAAGATTAGGTTACACATTCCCCTCTCAAAATCACTTTCATTTATAACTCAACAGCACTGTTGACACCCTAAGCAGAGTTTCAGCTACAATTTGATCAGTTTCAAGTCTGTAGCATTATTTGTTATGAGCCCTATAAATGTGAACAATTTGGATCACCATATATTACCTGGATCTAGATCATATCTTGGTGTGTGGTAGACCATATGTGGATGTTATCATTCATTTTTGTCCAAGCACAGTAGGCATTATGTATGGAGTTGAAAGCAAAAGTATTGAAATTGACCCTTTATCCCACAATGGTGAAGAATCTTTTCAAAAACACCTGGACCCGGATGATGATGCAGATCAGCACTAAAATCTAATGGACCCTACCTACCCTACCCCTCCGATAAATTTCATCAAATGCATTATTTACTTTTTGAGTTATGCTGTGAACAAACCAACCAACAAACACCAGTGGAAACATACAGTATGTCCAACATAACTGTTCACGACACTGGCACCAACTCAAATTAAACAAAACCAGAGGAAAGAGGGGAAATGTGCAGGAAGAGTGAGATGTGGCCACCTCTATCTGATACCAACAGCCACTCTGTTGGCCTGACGTAGCACAAACACTACTGCACTCATTTGGAACCATTAAGTGCCATGGAATGTCTACAAAGCCCGTCTTCACACCCAGTTCTGTGCCGCTCTTATCAGCTGTGGAAATGGGTGTTTTCTGCATTGTTCAGCACCACTGTGAAAGGCTGGGCTCAGTGCCTAAAATACCCATAAAGTAAAGGGCCAATTCCTGCAGGCAGTGAGAAGAGGAGCAGGGTGGATGAAGGCTTTTGAAAAGTAATACATCATAAAATGTGAGTTGTCTGGAATTTTATTCTTATAACGGTAGAAAAACTATGAAACCGGATTAAGACTGTAGCAGGAATCTAAGCCCGTAATAGGGTTTAGCTAAAATTCAAAACCCATACGAATGAGTTTCATTTAATAACCACTAGTATACACTATGTGTTTAGATTTAAGGTGAGGCAAAACTTTTATTTACTATATCTAATCGAATATCTGAAGAACAGTTTTACTCCAATATATGCAACACCTCTTTACCTTCGACATTTTTTTAGAATTGTATTTAATTTTGTAAGTTGAAAAAAGCAGTTGAAGAATCAAAGCAAATTTTCCCAGACATAAAAGTGTGTTTTGGTAACGTGAATGCTGTAAATGTTGATTCAAACTTGTAAAAATAATCACTTGGCACATTGTCCTGGATTGTTTTCATAATGGAGATTATCAGCAGGTAATAATATTCGAATATCACTCTATCCCTATCTTAAATGTGGAATTAACCCTCCAAAATCATTATTTGGCACATAATTGGACTAGAATGAATTCCCAGCATATATTTCAAAATAAAGTTTTCATGCTTTACCAAGTAGCAAGAACAATATTTATTAAAAAGCAGGGCTGCAACTAATGCTTATTTTCATTATCAATTCATCAGTTTATTATAATCTTGACTAATCAATTAATTGTTTTATCAGTATAATGGATAAAACTAGTGAAAATTGATGGTTATAATTTCCTTCAGCCTGACATGTCTTTGAATGTCTAGTTTTATTCATCCAACGGTCCAAAACCCATAAGTTTTTGTTTAATCGTACATACACAACAAAGAAATGCAAAGTCCCACATCAGAGATACTACAACCATCCAACATTCGGCACTTTTGCTTAAAATAATGACTAAAACAACTATTTGATTATCAAACTACATGTTCTCTTAACTGTCTGGTCAATTCATTAACTAATTGCTGCAGCTCCAATTAAAAGGCAAGTATCACCAAAGCAGTATATTAGTGTAACCCAGAGCCGTAACAAACTTGAGCCAAAGTCAACAGGGCTGAACGGTACCAAGTCTACAGGAAGTGAGCCTTGATAGAAAGAATAACACAGCAGTGAGGTGGTAGCTGCAGGCCCGATGGGAAGCGCTGCCTGGTGCCTTGATGCTTCACAGGGCCATGTTGGGCCCTTGCAATAAAACAAAGATAAGAGTGGGGCCACTGTGACCTCCGCTATCCCTCACTGCAGCTTGCCCTCTCCCCCTTTCTAGCTGGTGATAAGCTGGACAATAAAAGCTGTTAGCCTGCAGTAAGGGACAAGGATAAAGGCTCCCCATGCCACCACAACAAACACTGAGTAATTGATTTCCCAGGCATATTAGGGTCACCAAGTCATATCTGCATCATGGAATATGGTGAGAGATGAGCTCTAAAGAAGAGAAGTATACCTTTGAGGGGGTTAGCTAACAGGTATACCTGCTGTGACTGTGTCTCTGTCTTTTAAAATTTGCTCCTCGACGCTCGCTCTCAGCTGGATTTCAAAACGTCTGGAGAAGCCTTCCTTGGGTTTCCAAAGCGACTGCAGCATAAGGGGCTTCTCGTTGTCTCCCACCACACGAAAACACTCCCTCTTCCACTGGTTGTCAGTGCCAATCTGGCCAATTACGTCACAGAGAACAAAGTTGCTGGGGTTTTCTTTTTCCAGACAGTACCTGAACAAAAGCAGAAATTCAGTCAGGAGGATTATAGGGGATGCTGATGTTGATAATTAGTTTATCCGCTGTTTTAAGGCCCAAATAACTATCGACACAGCAACCCGGAGAGTAAGTATTATCCATGTACAACATACCTACAAATATTGCTTTATTTAATTTTCTTCTGTTCAACTAATTGCTGGCACACTAAAATATCTAGAAGATATAAATTTCTCTAAGAAAAGCTCTGCAGTTTATGAAGCATGCTTCATTACATCTATAAATAGTTTTGAAAGTTGTGCTTCAGGACATTCAAGACATAGTGAGCAACAGTTTGTTTACTGATCCTCAGTAGAGTTCTTCCAAACTTAAATCTGTCAACAACTATGTTAAATCATATCAACTATTTCTGCTTTGGCTCATTTCAGATTTATAATATAACAGAAAACATGCACAGGTTTAAGGAAATTCCTCACCTCTCTAAGGCCTCCTTCACCAGTTCCTTTGAACTGGACTGTGTGGTGGCCAGCACGCTCTTGTAGTTGGTCCCCTGACAGATGTCGCTGCCAAAGATCTTCAGGATGCCAGGGACAGACATTTGGCTGGACAGTTCGGCCGGATCATCTGTAGCCCCGAGGTCTCCGGCCAGGTTCCCACTGCCCAGCGCCTGGTCTCGGCGTCTACCATCCCTAAGGTTGGGGCTGGGGCTGAAAACAGTTGAAAATCTGTTGTTGTGGCGGCGGATTTTGCTCTTGGCTGGCTGTCGGACACCCACACTCTCTGTGGAGTGCACGGTGCTGTCTGAGGTATTGGACCTGATGGGAAAGGGGAGAAGTTTGTACACTGATAAGTAACAAACCTAAAATGTACACAGCAAAATAATCAACCGTCCTTCATATGCACTATATGTGTGACTTCTGCATATTCCATTTACAGACAAGCCCAAGGGAAAGCAGACAGGCTAACTTATTTGAGAACATGAAAACACCAAATATTTGCCTTTTTTGCTTGAAAGATTATTTAAATGACTAATCAATTACTGATGTAGTATTGTTTGCCAAATAATTTTCAAATATATACAACTGATCAATGGTTGTATTCATTTTCTAAGCAAAATGCAACAAGTGCTTAACTTTTTGTCAAAATACTTAGCTTCTAATATAAAGTTCCCATTACATGCATTTATAATTTAAATCAGGGCAGTGACTTTCACTAAGAGGTGGTCAGTAACATGTTTATTTACATAAATAGGACACACTGTAACTAAGCCAGTAACATTATTTTAAACTTGCTTTTTTTGTCCATCGACTAATCGATTAAATTAATTGTTGCAGCTCTGCTTTATATACAGTTAATGCATCGCACTTTGTAAGATCATCATATGTTAAGACAATAGCTGTAATCTGTTAATATCTATACAGTTACTTAACAGAGTAAAAAGAATTCCCTCTGAATTGAAGTACAGCATAAATGTAAATAATAAATGAAGTAAGTAGTGAGAGGTACATTTATAGCGTTTATATGATGCTAATAAATGCTAAACAGGGACTTAAAGTGTTATCACTAAGACATTAAATAACGTTAAAGACTTACTGGACAGATCCATTGCTGGGTTTCCTCCCCAGTTTGGCCAGTCGCCTCTTTGGAGAGCGGATCAGCAAACCCACAGGGAAGGTCAGAGGTTGTTTATTTACGTGGCTGTTTCTCTCTTCCGAAATCATTATTGTTTTTAATTCACATAAATACAACTAAACTATTACAACTGTTGAAAAAAATAGCCGCCGCTTGCTCTCTAGGTGATGACAAGTTTCCCACGAAGAGAAGTCCGCTTCCACCTACAAAAACCGCTTTAAGGTTTACAAAAGGTGCATAAATATTCCAACAGTGGCTTTGCATCCATTAGAGAAAAGCTGTTAAAATAATTTGAAAAGTTAGCTTGAACTAAGTTAACCTAACGTTACATTGCCACACAAGTTAGTGTCGGTGGGTTTGTACTTCCAGATCAGTTTCCTTGAGGATATATGTCAAACTGGAATAAACGTTCAGTAGAAAAGGAAGAAAAAGAGGTATTTTCACACACCGTTGGTCCATTCCTAACTGGAAGCAGATGTAAAACGAATGTAGAGACAGCTCGGTCCATGATAAAGACAGCAAAACCCGTTAACTCTGTACGGGAGCCTGGAGCGAACTGAATGGAGAACCTGCAGCCGGAGGCACGAGCCATCACAGGTGACGTAACTGCCGACCTCACCCACGTGGTCCGCGAAGAGGCGGGACAAGACGTAAAGCACGCACACGCACGCACAGGACCTTCAATACTTCAAAAATGTTACTGTTACCTGTTGTATCATATGGCTGTTAGCGGGATGTCACACAAACACTGAATCAATCAAACTCAAGGAAAACAAGAATCAGATAACATTTGGCGAAAAGCGATAAATTAATAAGGATTTACTTTCACGTATTATGGAAAAAATGTATGTTTGTAGTCTGCCCTCTTACCTGGTCTTTGTCTGCAGGGAGCCGGCGTAGCTCAGATCTAGACACCTAGTTGCCTTGTCCTCCGGGATACAATATTAATGTTTATACAGTGTTCTTCATATATGTTTTTGTCATTCTGATTGTCCACTCAGTAAATTTGTTGTACTGACTGATTCTGTACACACGATATTTATATGTCTGCCCATCCTGGAATAGGGATCCCTCCTCTGTTGCTTTTCCTCAGGTTTCTTCCAGTTCGTTCCCTGTTAATGAGTTTTTCCTTATCCAGCTTGAGGGTCTAAGGACGGAGGTGTATGCTACACACAATTAAAAGCTCCTTAGGGCACATTTGTGATTTTGTGATACTGAGCTATACAAATAAAAGTTGACTTGACTTGACAGTAGATGAGCAAAAGTCAATCTAGACTAAATTTTACATAAAGTGAAAAAATAAAAAGGATCAAGGTCTTTAGGTTTGTGTGTTTTAAGACAGACTTATGCTGTGTACAACCCTGAGACAGTAAAGGTGCTGGAGTTTCAGGTTTCCAGCTGAAATTTGTGCATCAAGCGCCCCATCTAGTGGCAGTAACGGTGAAGTGCAACAATAAGGTTTTTGTTTTTTTGACAGTTCTAGCTTACTGTACTTCCCAGAAATAGAATTTACATACAAAATGTATGACAAGTGTATAAAATATGATGCACTCTTAAAGATTTTACAGCTAAACGTTAATAGTAATAATATTTGCTTTGGAAGATAGCAAACAGCTGTTTTTTTGCATTTGGTAGACAAAACAGTTAGAGCAATCAGCTGATTATCTGATAATGAAGAGTGTTTATTGTGGCCTAGTCATTACAGCTGTGTTTTATTGTCATTTATTATGTCTATATACACCAGTTTCCACTTATGGGTGCCCAGTATAGGAGTTTGCTGTTGACAAATGCATCTCAAAGCTGTATTATAGTGGTTTATTCTATAAACCATAAATACTAAAAGGGAAGGTGGTTAATACATTAACTGTTAGCCACCACTAACACCTATGGTGCTTCTTTGTGTTTCTCAGACACACAGACACACTCACAGAGGTGTTTATATGTTGTTTGTGGTATTGAGTAGTAGGGTGAGAGGCGGATGTGAGTGAGCCGCACCTGCAGCTGCTGTGCACGGTGAACGGTTTGACATGACAAGATTCAGGTCAGACACACACATCTTTTCTGCAGATGGCCTGCTACTGTCTGACTCTGACACACTGAGTGCAATTCACAGTATCAGCATTCAGACATATTAGGAATGTATGACTCTTAGAATAAATACAAAAAGCATATATGTGTTCATGAGTTGCTAAATACAATGCCATTATCAACATTACTAAATTCAACAAAAGCACAAACGTCCACGACATGTTAAAGGCACTGTGATGTGTTCATAGGGTGAAAATAACACCACGCATGGGACATGTGAAAATACATCTGGTTCAGTAAACATAAAATCACAGGCTGCATAGACAGGTCGAGTGAATCCATCATTTATATCCATGAAGCCAACAGGAATTCAATATAATTAGATTTTCTGTCATGTAAAACAAAAACTCCATCAAGATATAATAATGTTCATTGACTGGTGGTAAAATGTCAGTGCTGTTATGGATCATGCTCGAACCACTGTATAGCTATATATGAAAAAAGAATATGACATATTACAAAGGCAAGACATTAATGTTTAACCACAATTGAATTTTTCTGTACATATTTTAACTGGCCACCACTGATGCTGAGTGAAGACTCACAACTCAATATGCAGTAATTTGTATGGATAAAATGGTTAATAAACTGCAACTGCAAAGAATTCGTCCTCACTGAAATGCAGCAATGTCTTATTTTGTTATTTATAGTATAAACACATACTGTAAATAAAAAATGTACATATGAACACAAAAAGGAATATATGAATTAGCTCTTAAAGGGCCGTACCAGTGTTTTGAACATTTTATCAGAAACATATGTTAAATAACTGCTAAGTATTTTTAAAAGCTGCTGTTTTGGGATTGTGTGTTTCCAACTATCCAAACAGCCACTGGTCTCCTTTGACACTGAATGCATGATAAAACTGTGCAGTTTTCTGATTATAAAAAAAAAAACAATAATTTGGCTTTCACCAAAATAGAGCTGACATAGAATTTACTGGTAAAATGTTTTTCTTCATACACCCATGAACATTTCATCTGCTTTTCTGACCGTGCTTGGCCAAGCAAGGCAACAACATCCTCCCTACATTCAGCAGAGAGGCACAGGTTCCCTTTCTCTCCTCACAACTTTAATAAATCTCATATTACAGTTTGTTATGCAGGCTGGACCTTTATTTATTTATTTATTAGGTGTCACGTTATTTTATTGATTCCCGGTGTTTGCTGACAAATGATCAGTTTCAAATCTCTGCAAGTAGTTTTTTATGAGTGCTGAATAGAAATAAGTGGAGTTTACTGCAGAATATTTTCCAATAAAACATAGAAAAACATCCTTAAAGACTAATAACGAACAGGATGAGCATGTCACAAGACACAAAGTTTACAGTTGTTTTTGTGAAATTAGCTCCACAAGGTTTAAAATAAGCTTTGTTTGACTGTTTACACATGATAGAGGCACATAAGGCGATTAATTATTCTGAAACCCTTCATTTTGAATATGTCACCTTCATAAAATATGACCATTGTATGTGAAAAAGAGTGAGGATTTGTTTTTAAGATGTGAGACATCTCTGATATAGACTACTGTATGAATCAGGGCTTGTGCAGAATGACAAATCAGTGGTAAGCTATAAAAATAACAGTTGACACACAGTTGTGTGTATCAAGATGTTTAATAGTTGTGTGTGAATGTTTATGTCCACATGTGTGTCGAAACTACTTGATAATAGGTTCACAAATAAGGAAGGATATAAAAAATACAGGAAAGGTAGAGGAAGCTGTGTAAAGCTAAACTGAGCGAGATGAGATGAAACTGAAAACTGTCCAGGTTTTCTGCAAAATAAACTAGGTGATGAGTGTATACATAGCAGTGGACAAAATAAAATAAAATAAAATATTTCAGTGACTTGAGCACAGGTCTCCGGCAACATGTTCTGATGTTCAGATGATGACCAAATGTCACATACTGTGTTTCTCCTCTGAACTGTTCTACTGACCCAACATTCCACTAAAAATCAAAGATGAGAGAAAAGTTTGAAAAATGAAAATGGATGTGTGTACCACAGCTTTGTTGTTTCTTCTTTGTTCTTCCATTAATCATTTTAATCTACTAAATGAACAGCATTCTTCCAAAAGAGATTCCCTCACATGGTGTTTTGATGATGGTGGTGGAGACGTTGTCTAACCTGTTGCTCCAGCATCTCCCATAGCTGCTCAGCTGGGTTGAGACCTGGTGACTGTGAAAGCCACAGCATATGATTTGCATTATTTTCATACTCATCAAACCATTCAGTGACCCCTCATGCCCAGTGGATGGGGGCAGTGTCATCCTGGAAGAGACCGCTCCCATCAGGATAGACATGTTTCATCATAGGATAAAGGTGATCGCTCAGAACGTTGTATTTAATTTGACTCTAAGAGGACAAGTGGACTCAAACCATGTCAGCACATGTGTTCGTTATGTTTCTCTGCTTGTTTTATTCAGGTTTTTCCTTTAATCTGTCACCCCTCTGTATATTTTACATATTAAAGAATCAGACTACTACCAGTTTAACGTTCATATATAGCCTACTAATAATAATAGTACTGTTTGTCAGTCACAGGGATGTAGCCTACCTTTTGCTGACAGTACTTGTGTACTAAATACTTCTTCCACCACTGCACTGCTTATCTGTTTCTTGTCAAATGTCATCTCCAAATGCTGAACTGTTCCTTTAAATATCCAGCCTTACACAAAACACTGCAACAAGTGGGGTTTTATTTTGAAAACCTAACCGGAAGTGACTTTTCATATGCTCTGTGGCTGGTACATTGAAAAGAGGCGGTTCTCTCAACATCACAGCAGATAGAACTGCAGACAGCAGATACACGGAGCTCATCTTCCTTCTTTACTTAATGTTGTCCAGTTAACAAAGCAACAAAACGTTTTTCACCCAAAATTAGGACTTTTATGTTTTTATACAAATGCCGGGTTCACAGATATGCTGCTGTGCTCACACTTAGGTGTGAGAAGGGGCCAGCCTTAGAATAAACATCACACAAGTGTAACTTCACTCCAGAGAGGAGGAAAGGTAAGATGAAGAAACTCATTCACCAAATCTCCTTGTAAGAATGAATGATTTTAGTAATAGCAGCCTGCTGCTCTCTTTCTCTTTGTTTCTGTCTTATCTATTGTTTATATTCGTGTTTAAGATAAAACCAAATCTTTACTGTAATTTCTCACAATGTATTGTTTTCCATCTTCAGTTTAGCTGTGTTCTCATAGAAATAGCTGCCATATTTGTACCAACCAGCAACACATCTAACATGTTAATTTGACTTTTCCAGTGAATTATTACTGGTTTATCAAGGCTGCACTCCAGTATGGACACTGATGTACTCTAGTTATTCCCAAACGCAGTAAATGCAAATAAAATCACTTTGTTTAGATATCTCTTAGTAAAATGTTTTGCTATTTATATGTTCATTTACTAGAATCTATTGTTTGTCTCATTTGTTCCTCATTTGCATGTATTTATACTCCTCGCTTTGGGGAAGTGGGTCTAAAGGCTGGTGCTGACATGAGAGGGAGGGTTAACAGAGGTTACACATTCTGAAGCCATTCACAATTTCATTAGTTTAGAAGAAAATGTGTTCAGCTTGCGGGTGCACTAGCTGAGATCTTCAAGCATATGTGACCCTGAAAGGTCAGACATCAGAATATCTGGGGTTTGATTGCTGATGTCAGAGCTGTGAGCGACCCCTTGTCAGGACCTCCCCTTCTGCAAACATGCCATGCTTCTGTAGCCTGTGGTTTCAAGAAAACATCAAGTGTCAGCTGGTTAAAAAAGAGCACTGAGGGAAGAACTGACAAATGCTAAAAATGTTAGTTTCCCTCAGACTAAGGTGATTCATGTCAGTGCTTTGTTTTATTTGACCAACAGTCCACTCATGCAGTATGTCAAAAAATAAAATAAAATAAAATAAAATCACATCCTGACAGAGAGAATGTGTTGGCAATTTTGCTTGAAAAATAATAAAATGATTCATTGATTAGTTCGGCACAAGTAATAGTCGGGTATGATGACGGGATTTTGATAAAAATAATGATCGTTTATTTGTTTACTTATTTAGTTTCCAATCATTTCTTTCATGACTGTTAATGATTATCTGAACTACCATGTTGTTTATTTGTAGCAACAAGACTATTGTATTGTTAATATTTTATGTAAAGGTGTCTTATCATCCCATAAGGGTTCGGTTACAAAATGGTATAACTCTTTAATACCATTCAGTTTATTATTTATTCATTGATATAGTAACATTTTAAAATACATTGATTCTTTGTTAAATATATGACACACAAGATAGTATCAGCTGGTTAACAAGAGCAGTGGTAGAAGAAATATTTAGAACCATTACTTAAGTAAGTACCACAATGTAAAGATTCTCGGTTAAGTATAAGTCCTGCAGTCAAAATTCTACTTAAGTGAAAGTGCTACTTTTGTGCTATTCAAAAGTAAAAATATACATTATGCACAACCATGCATGTCAGAGAGTTAAATTATAGAGCCAGCAAGTTTTTTTTTTTAAGATTATCTGCACAAAATAAACATTTGTTTGCGCAAGCATTATCTTGTGCAGCAAAATATCCTGTTAGCGTTGATCTGTAGTACTTGCCGATCTCTCACACGTATATGCAGCTTGGCACACTCAAACATGAGCAAGTTTTTTCATAAGTGAGAACACTTATGTGGTTATGCAGGGCCTTTAATCATTTACAGCACAGTTTATTAGTTATTACATGTTTTGCATGTCAAATTAAGTAAGTAGTGTTAGAGGTTCTCAAGTAAGTATCTTAAAATTGTATAAAATGGCACGTTACTTGAGTAAATGTGTTTATTTTGCCCCATAGGGATAAGCTGACTGGAATTAGCCACTGTGGCATTCATTTTGACACAGTTGTGGAAAGTAACAAAGTACAATTACTAATTTACTTAAGTCCAGAATTTAGGCACTTGTACCTGTCTGAGTAGTTTCATTTCATGCTACTTTATATATCTACTTTTCTACATTTTAGAGGGAAGCATTGTGGTTATTACTCCAAAAACATTTACCTGACAACTGTAGCTCCTTTTCAGATTACAATTTTACATACTAAAATATAGAATAAACTTTTAAAATGCAAAGATGCCTTCATAAATATTAACCTTTTCTGTCTTGTGACAGTGTAAATAACTAATGCTGAAACAAGCCATCTTTATTGACACAGCTATAATCAGCAGCTGTCTTGATAATCATTGAATTGTTTCAGTCATTTCTCTTTTACTTTCTTTCATGACAGCTTCTCATTATGTGCGGATTTACTGCCTTTGCAGTGAGTTGAATATCTTTAGGTTTTGGTCTCTTGGACTATTGGGCCTCTCAGATGTCTGTGAGTTGTTAGCACTCCCCTTTAAACTTCTCACATGGTTTTATTAAAATAAACAGTTTGAGGCCCATAGACAGACAGTTATCAATATTTCACATATCATGCACAGCACTTCACATTTATCTGGTTGCCCTGTCATCAGAGCATACTCCTCTACATTTATTTTACTGCTTTTTTATTAAGCTTTACATAAAAACATACAAAAACACACCACAAAATCTTTTTTCAACTTCCTCTTCCAATACTCATGTCATAAAGCTTCAAATTTATTTTATGGCCCTGGGAACCAGAGTACTAAATACGCTAACTCTCTATAAAGTTGTTAAAGCTACTGTAGCTCCACCTACATTGGTAAAATGCTGCTTATACATTGACGCATGAGCATAAATCTAATAATGTCATATGTGACAATATACACATCACAAGGGACATTTCTAGTGCTAAATGAATACTTTTACTTAGGTCTTGCCTCTGTGCAGACACTCCAGCAGGTTGTTCTCGGTAACTGCATCAGTGTGACTCCTGAAGCATCAGTATTCCGAAGAGGGATCTGCCCGTTCTACACCGTTGCTTGTCTGATTTGTACTGTATGTCAGCTCATATGCTATGCATGCTCTTTAAATGACATCTATGTGATTATCTATTGCACTTGTTGCACCTGTAAAAACTACCTGTAATAGTTGTCTACAGTGGTGGAAAGTACACTCACCACTGACTTTATTAAGTACGGTATGCCTTGATAGTATCGGGTTGGTGTAAAGGGACAGACATGGTCAGCAACAGTTCTCAGGTAGGCTGTGGCATTTAAACGATGCTCAGCCAGTAAGAGGAGGCCTGAAGTGTGCCAAAAAATATCCCCCACACCATTACACCACTGCCACCATCAGCCTGATATGAGGCAGGGTGGATCCATGCTTTCATGTTGTTTATGCCAAATTCTGCCATCCAAATGCCACAGCATAAATGGGGACTCATCAGACCAGGCAACATTCTTCCAGTCTTCTATTGTCTAATTTTGGTGAGCCCTTGTGAATTGTAGCCTCGGTTTCCTGTTCTTAGCTGACAGGAATAGCACCTAGTGTGGTCTCCTGCCGCTGTAGCACATCTGCTTCATGGTTCAACATGTTGTGTGTTCAGAGATGCTCCTCTGCATGTCTCGGTTGTAACGAGTGGTTATTTGAGTTACTGTTGCCTTTCTATCAGCTCGAACCAGTCTGGCTGTTTTCCTCAGACCTCTGGCATCAACCAGAGAACTGCTGCTCACTGGGTATTTTCTCTTTTTCAGACTCTCTGTAAACCCTACAGACAGATATGCATGAAAATCCCAGTAGAACAGCAGTTTCTGAAATACTCAGACCAGCCCATCTGGCACCAACCAACATGCCATGTTCAAAGTCACTTAAATCACCTTTCTTCCCTATTCTGATGCTCGGTTTGAACTTCAGCAGATCATGTTGACCATGTCTCAATGCCTAAATGCATTGAGTTGCTGCCATGTGATTGGCTGATTAGAAACTTGCGTTGATAAGCAGTTGAGAAGGTGTACCTTAAGTGGACAGTGAGTGTTAGTAGGTACAGCACAGCTGGACATAAACATATAAAATTTTGAGGTACTTGATTATTTACAATTTATGGCCTGTTACTGTATACAGTATTTCTACTCTACTATATTTAAGAAGGAATTATTATAGTTTTTGCTTCGCAAAAGAATTCAGATTTGACATTTAAAACATACTGTACATCAACATGATGCACTAATTGTGTATAAAATAGTTAAAAATCGCTTCACTTTGACCATCAACCATACTGCTTACACAATGCTGCTTTACTATTATCCATTTTGTGATATAACACATCACAGTATAAACTCTCATATAACCCACTTTTCTATGTTACCTCCAGGATGACTTTTGTTTGAAATGGAGGATTTTTATATTGTAGTATTGCTGCTTTACATGAGTAAACAATCTTAATACTTTTTTCACCACTGGTGAATTCTAGCATGTTTCAAAGATGGAGAGCAACAGTCTGATTATTCAAGAAAAAGGAATCAAATACACAGGTTTAGCTGCTTCTCTTCTCTTCTGCTTGCTAGTCTGCGCAGAGTTTAGTTGCTGGTGCAAAGTGAGAAATTCCCTATAGTCGTGATAGTGAAACTTAATGTAATGCTGCAAGCAGCAGTTCTTACAAACAAAACTATTAATTTCAGTATCAGCACTGAGAAACTGTTGCATACTGACGTGAACATCCTGTATATCCCCTCACAGTCACCAAAAAAATACCTTCTCAAAAGCACACTGAGCAATGTCCTTATATCCCCAGTCTACAGTAGCCTATACAGCACATTAATCAGCAATAATTTTGATAATAATTGATTGTTTCAGGGGCTATTTTTAAGGAAAAATGCCTCAAATGTAGTCGTTCCAGCTTTTCAAATGTGCATGTTTAGTGGTTTATGTCACCTATAATAGTAAAGTAAATATCTTTGTGTTTTGGACTGAACAAGTGAAAACGAATTGAGAAAATAATCAAAATATCAATCAATACTGTCATTGGCGGTATGTAGTGTGTCCATTCTGTTTGTAAAATAAACAATTACAAGTCAAGCACAGCAAGGTTGAGTCTTTTAACTAGGCTACAGCTCAGGAAAACCACTCGTGTTGTGCTGGTGAAATGCTGACCAGTTCGCTTGTCAGTGCTTTGTGGTTTTACTTTTCACTGCCACAAATATCAGCAAGAAAAAATGCACCAAGCTGAGCAAGGTGTTTCATTTTCACATATAAGTTTTTGTTGATTTTTATGGTTACCATCAGTGAGAAAGAAGATGAAGCTTTATTTTATTGTAACACATACAACGAAATTTTGTTTAGAGCTGAGGGCCCTGGGCTGCTGCGTGCATATGCACCACCATCATGGGCAACTTGGGGGGGGGGTTCAGTGTCTTGCCCAAGGACACTTCGACATGTGGACTGCCAGAACCAAGATTCAAACTCTAAACCTTCTGGTTGGGAGACGACTGCTCTACCCACTGCACCACTGTCACCCCCCGAAAATATTTAGGGTTACAGGAAAAGACACATACAGCAATTGGGATTTTTAATAAAAGGTCCAAATATATAAAAATAAACAATACCCAAAGAAGTGAGAGACAGCGATGAAAAGAAAACCTTCCTCACATTTACAGGTTTTTAATTGAAATTCACACATGCCTATAGAGTACAAAAACAGATCCATTCTATTGGTATTGTTATAGTTTGTAGAGCTCTGTCTCATAATGAACAGGCATTAAAGGGACTGCTACACCACAGTGACTCTTAGTACTTAGTTACCCAAATGGTTTCATGTGGTGAGCTCATTATCCAGCAACTGAATAATTATTTCCATAAATGCACAATGGCTCCAATTGTTATTATCATGGTTGGGAGACGACTGCTCCTTGACTTAAGCAGAAGAGGTATGACTTAGATATTAAAGATCAGATTAAAAAAAAAAAACATAAGACATGCAAGAACTGCTTGGTGTACTAAAATGTCTTTGATTTCCCCTTTATTTATTTCCCCATTTGTTCACACAGTCAGCAGCTGAGAGTGAAGTGAGAATTCGGGAGTTTCTTGCAGCTCTAAGTGCACAGAGAACTGAGTCACTTCATTTTTAAACCATAACCCCCTTAAACTATTTATATCAACTCTTTGTTAATTTTAGCTATCAGTTTTAGTAGCCAAACAGCGTTAATACAACTTCTGCATTCATCATGTGATGCATGCTGGTCCAAAAAGCATTTTCCTCATGGAGAATCATTGAAAATAGAGTGGCTTTAAAATGGTGAATACATTTTTCTGAGCATCACAAATCTAGTGGAACGTCTAGTTCAGCCATAAGATATTTTTCTCATTCCAACTGGAAGTCAGCTGGCTTGATGGGCTGGAGTTTTTGCTCAGTGGAAGTGTACGTCCTATGGGCCCAAAAACACAGAAGCTTCTTTTTATTTTTTACTTTTGCAGTGTGGGCCGCAGAGCCACTATCAGAGGAATGAATAGGTGTCATTTTGTAATCTAGTGTCCAGTTCTCGTTATCCATGATTTCAATCTTTTATCTGTTACTTTTATATACAGGAAACTAATTTATCTGTTAATTTTAGCTAACTGTTTCAACTATGGACATATCAAGGAGATCCTGAACTTAAAAATGGTGCCCAGTCACTTGAAGGCAAATTGCTTGCCTGGCGAGTGAGCCAAAAAGATTTTCTAGGTTCCAGGTTTGCCACTGCATTGTGTGGCCCACATTAATGCTTCCCCAACTCTCCTGCTCGGGCCATAGACTTTACAGTGGGATGATGTCATGACAGTAAAACAAACGTGTCTAGGCTCTGGGGAAGTTTTGCAAATGTAAAACCTCCATGGATTAAAAATTCATAATATAAAGAGTAATCATTTTCATTTGAATGGAACTGAGCTACAACACAATCCTCACACTTACTCCCCTAGCAAATGAAAAAGTGGCCCTGATTTGTAATAAGTGGTTTAATTTACAGGTGAATAAATGTTATTGCCGCATAGTGAATTTGAGTTTTGTCAAAGACACTTGTCTTCTACTCTAAAAATGATTAAATTGGGTCATTATAGGAATATAAGTTGGATGTATATACTGTAGATAAAGGGTCACATGGGGAAAGAGCAACACTACTGTATCTCCTCCCCAGGCACTTCAGATAAAGGTTTTATTCTTACAAAGTGATCTACAGCTCCGTGAGTGAAATTAAGGGAGAGTCGGTTCTTTCATTCACCACATCCTCCACTCTGTAACCACAAATTTTAGGTTTTATTCATGTCTGTGGGAAAATAACGAAAAGCATTGCCTAAAATACAGTAACTGCTGTCATAAGAGTCGACGCCTGATTATAGTTTTACATCGACATTTTGTCTGCATTTTAAAAGTCTGATAATTGGAGAATAGCATTCAAACTATATATCTATAAGTAAACAGCAGCAAAACACGGAAGTAGTTTCTGCCTGTCTTCCCAATTTATAAATAGATTACAAATACAGTTTTCCAGTTCCTTTACTATCCACCTGTCCTTCATTCATGTTGAGAGCTTGCTATTCAGTACCTGCATCCCATGTGAACACATACTGGGTAATCACTGTATGAGGAGCTGAAGTATTAATGGTTGAGTGATAACACATATTGATGTTTGTGTCTTATTTAGTTCCCTTTAATTGTGTCTCCTATAAACAAAACAAGTTCTGGAAAAAAAAAGATTTTATAAGAAATATTTTAAATCACGTTTGCCAGTCTTTGATTGCTGTGCAAACTTATTTCATTTATTATTATTCAGACTTAAATTAGCTAGTGAGCTCCTTGATGTGTTTTATTGTTTTAATATGTTTTACCTGATGTTTACCATTTTTGTTCATATTCATAATGTAAATATGTATAATTTTGTTTTTGATGTGCCATTCTGTCTGTGTTTCACAGTATTTGTTCTGCAGCTAATGATTGTCTTCATTGCTAAATGTAAAAACTATTGGTCCTTAAAATGTTAGAGTGTTCCAAGATCCCAAAGTGACATTTTATTTTGTCTAGAGCAGCAGTGACTACTTTATTAATTGATTAGTCAATCAAACTAAATACACTCACCGTCTACTTTATTAGGTACAACTGTACAATTGTACACACTTCAATGCAGCACTTCCACCTTAACATCTGTGTTTATGAAGCTCTAAATGTTTCAGTTTTTGGTGAAATTGTTGTAAATGTAAATTAATTATATGTTTATTATTGAGGTCATAGTTAAAGATGGTGTTGTACTGGACTACATTATATTCTGCACAGTTTTTATTTGTTTGATTGATCAAGCCTGAGGATTTGGGAGATCAGATCTTGCTTTACTGATCATAACATAATTTCTTAATATTTCAGTGTTCCTTAAATTGACTGTTTTGATTGTTTATGGTGAGAAAAAAAGCAACAAATAGCATTTTACCCATAACCTTACACGTATACTTATTTCAGTCTTGAAAATATTAAATTTCGACCACAGCTGGTTAATACCACTCTAAAAAAGATGCCGCTATCTCATCAGAATGCAAACACGTCATCGAAAGAAGTGTCTCTGCTCTCATAGATCATATGTTTTTGTCTGCATATGCTTTGAAGCAATAAAACTGCGTATGTTGTTTAAAATGGAAACATTTTTTGCTTTAACATACATTTTAACATTGTGCTGAAGTTTTAATAAAATCCTATTTTTCTCTCTCCTTGTATAGAAACACATGCTGTGGACCCTCTGATCACTCCACTCGTTTTTTTTTCTTTCTTCGTTTTGCTCATATTTCTGGCACTTCAGCTAGTCACGATGGAAGCCAAAGGAAAATATGAATTTACTGCAAAAGATCCAGATGAGCTCAGCTTCAAAAAAGGAGATATACTTAAGGTCAGTGTATCCCAATCAAATGGCGATTTTCTTAATGTTGTTTCAAAGTATTTTAAAACCTCTGCGCCACAACTTGTCTTTTTTTTCTCTTTCTGATTAGATTTTAGACTTTCAAGATGATTGGTGTAAGGCAGAGATGAATGGACAGGAAGGATTTATACCACAAAATTATGTTGAAGTGCAGATTCCAAGGTAAAAGACACTTGTACTCATTAACAAACACTGGACCCAGATGTTGACTTCATACCTTAGTTGGAATGATGTCCAGACAAATTTCTACTTAACCCTGACAAACTCATCACTGAAGGCAGAAATAGCCCTGATTTTATTTGTGTAAAAAACATTTTAAGAACCTGTACCATTTTTCAAAAAAGTTCATACAAAACACAATAGAATAATTGTGAAAATAAAATAAAATGCTTTCCTGTGTTTGTGCCTCTGTCAATTGGGTTCAGTCTCACTTAAACTAATTCAGATTTCCTGATAATATGAGATCAGAACCAGGACTGACATCTAGAATAAGAATTTTTGGCCCTAAAACCTGTTTATTAAAAAGAAATTACAGTAGGTTTTGTGTTTCGACCAGTATGTGTGGTTCACATTAGACGAGCAGGAGCCTCTCTGTTTGTGTTTCCAGATGGTATCAGGCGAATTCCAGTCGCGGTGCTGCTGAGGAACTCCTGAGACACAAAGGTGTGGGAGAGTTTGTGATTCGAGGGTCCCAGAGCTCTCCAGGAGATTTCTCCATCTCTGTCAAGTGAGGAAAAACAACAGCTTATTAAGCACACACATAATTTGGATCATAGTGTTTACAAGTTCACCAGGTCAAACTTAAACCCCCATATTGAAACATAAGAAGACTAATACAGCATAAGAGACTGTATTGTGCTTAGAGCTAAATGCTAACCTTTCCATGCTAATATACTGATGTTTAGCTGGTCTAACTGTTTACCATGCTGTGACATGAAAGGGACCGATTCATGCAGCAGACCCACCAGTCCACAGGCCAGTGCTGCCATTCCCAGAATCATGCCATCAGCGTGACTAAAAAGGATCTGCATCATTACTGCTCATTTTTATAATCTCTATCAAAAACATGTAACACATAGTTTGTACCAGCAATAAAGTGGATCTAATTTCATTAATGTACCCTACCAGTATCAGTTGGATTACTTGACAAGATCAGCAGTAGAAACATGATGGTGTCTCATGCTGGCCAGTTTCATGTGTCACTAAACAGGGAAAAGGGAGAGGCTTCCTGCACACTGACATTTGAAAGCTTCCATGATACAAAAGTAGCACAGGTTAGCTTTTCTTGACAATCAGCCCATGCAATCATTCAAAAGCCATTCAGAATACTCAGAAATCAGGTTTCTGTGAGAGAGCAAACTTCCCTTTTCTGCTAACTGATCAGGCAGAAAGAAGTATTTAGAAGAGTAGTTCATGTTAATATGTAACTAGCCAGTGTGCTACCAGTTAACCATGTGATGACTTTGTGTAAACCAGCTGCGCTCACACCAGGACAGTGAGAGTTAATATAAACCCTATTCGACAAACACAAAATCAGTCAGGATTGTTGGTATTGAGATGATCAGCTCACAGTGACAGAACTGCTTCCAGAAACATTTGTCTAAATTATATAAAAGTTAACTTGTTGATTAAGTGGTTTTTAGAAGACAAAGGTGTGGTTGAAATCTGTAAAAGTGTTGCTATATTTAGTAGTTGGATTTAATGAGAACTGAGAAATTAATATTTCTCCTTTATGCTTATCACTATAAATAAAAAAGTGAACTGACACATGGTTTGACTGTGTTAGCTTCCCCTATGTGCTGCAAACTCTGCAATACGTCACATAATGCATTTACAACCAGGAGACAGCTGCAGAAGCGGTGGTGGAGTTAACAAAGGCAGAGGAAGAATGTAACAGTATTTCAGAGGTTGTGGCAACATTGAGGTTAAGTTAGTATCTGCAGTCATTCAGACCAGGGAGAAGGTTAAGATGTACATTTCACTGTGTAGAGCGCCTTTCTTAAACCCTCTTCTTTGCTCTTTGCCACTGTTGCTCAAGCAGGAGAAGATTTATTAATAGACCTTATTCACAGAAGACAGTAGGAAAATCACATGTTACAATTAAATGACTAAAATAAAAGTTTGTTTTGGGTCTTTGGCAAACAGGCAGGGCTTTTCTGTGATAGCTGTTGTTTCCTTTCTTAACGATTTCTTAAATTCCATACAGTATGCAAGTATGAAGTGGTTTCAGTTGAAATACTTCTGTCAAATACTTCTACTAAAGTAAAACACATTCAGCCTCAGATTCAAAATTACAAGTTGGAGAAATTGAGAATTTCTGACAGCGATGATAAGAAATACAGACATGTCAACAACCTGTGGCAGAATGGTTTTTATCAAAATCAAATACAGTTGATAAGATGTGTACTTTGTATCTGGTTTCACTTGGTAACCAGCTGCTGCAAATACATAAGAGAAGAAGCCAATTTAAGCAGTTGGTCTGGTGGTGACACACTAAGACTTTCATGATACCTAAGCATGATAAGCATGATGCTTATCAGTGCTCACAGGTCCATGTGCAGATGTAATACAGACTGTATGTAGGATAAAATAGGGACATACAGTAGTTTTCTACTGCATGCATTATGTCCAAACATCATAGAATCTCTGTAGGTGCTGAGGACCCCACTATGACAACCAGGATGGGGGAATTTTACTTTCCACTAAACTTTGATGATGTAGTTTAGTTCGCTGACCAGCAGAGGACAATCCAGTCGAGGAAACAGTCCAGGAATCCAGGAATGAAGGAAACATGGATTCATTAGTTGTTCAGCTAATATAATACTCTTCTCTTTCAATGCATGCTGTGAACCCCTGAAGTTAGAAGGGCTGTGGTGAGGCAGGTGTAGACCTTCGGATCCAAGCACACTGAGTTTTAATGCTCATTTTAACAGCTGTCTATAAACACTCGCTGAGACAGTTCTCACTTTCACCATCGCATCTGAATCAAATCAAATCTGAATCCTTTCTAACCCCTTATTAAACCCTTTAAGTGGTTTGTTTGGTGGGAATAAAGATGCCTGTTAGTTAAAAATTATTTCATTTCACTCAGCAAAGTAGTAACTAAACAAAGTTTTGTGTAAAAAAATATAACTAGATATTTAAGAATCTAGCCTCTTAATTACGTTATTTGTACAGTTGGCAATTTTATTTGTGACAGTTATTTAAAGCAAATTTTTAATACTCTGTGTATGTTTCTACTACTTGTGTGTTTTTATCCTATGTGTGAAATGCTTTTCTAAATCAGAGGCTTTATCTTTCCTCAGACATGAGAGTGATGTTCAGCACTTCAAAGTGATGAGGGACAACAAAGGCCAGTACTTCCTGTGGTCTGAGAGGTTCACCTCCCTAAACAAGCTGGTGGAGTTCTACAAGACCACCTCCATCTCTAAGACCAGGGAGATCTACCTCTACGATGGCAGCTCAGGCAGCAGGAGCCCCTCGGTGGTCCAGTCGGTAAGATGGTTTCCTGTTGTCTGTAGCTTTGGTGCACTGTTCATCTAAAAGAACAGTAAACCTATTTGAACTACATGTATTAAAAAGTTAAAAGGTCAAATTACAGTAACCTACTTAGGCAGGTTGTATATCAAAAATGTTCTGTATGTGGGTTTTTTGTGGTTTGTTAATGTATTTACAGAATTTAAAAAAATGATACTGTGAGGAAGTGCCAGGTGTTCTTTCAGTTCATTGAGTTATTGGACTGCAAAATGTCAGAATGAAGCTAAAATTGTCTGTTAAACTTTCCCAGCATCCAAAACCCAAACATTTTCAGTTTACTATCAGAGAAGACAAAGAAAGCTAGTAAACAGGATCATTTAAGAAGTTGAAGCTGTTTAAGGTTTTGAATATGTTTTCATGGGTTCATACCACATGGCGTAGCCATCTTTGTACATATCAGATGAAAAACATTTGATACTTATATAAGATCACAGCCAACTCTACTGTAGTTCCTGATGTACCTGTTCTGATGTTGCAGAGCACTCTTATCTACTTCCTGTCTGTTTCCTTTCTTCAGGTGAAGAGGGGAAGTTTGCCCGAGCAGCCAAACACAGCTGCAAGCATTGCTGCTACACCGCGCAGAGCTTCAGACCAGCCTCACAGCCTGCTGGTACACACTCTAGTTATAATACCACTGCTTCCCAGTATTTATTAGTCTGATGTTCCCCCTCTGCCCCCTCATAAACACCACCCATCGTTTTCCTAATGTGATTTTAAATTGATTGGTATTTAATATTATCAGTTATGCAAAAAAGTGCATATTGCTACAGTATTTTTTCATATGCAGTTGAGCTGTCAACTCTTTGGTTTGCATTTTACAACTTGAAGTAGCAGCTGAATATTTTAATGATTTTTTTTAGCACATATATTTGTTTCATTGTTTATTTGCTACCTTGAGGAATCAATACATTTTCCATTAATTTTAGTTAAATTTAAACTGTTTAACTATTTATTAGGTGTTGCTTATTTCTTACTTTTAGCCATTTAAACTTTTTATCCATTATTTTTGCTGAATATTTAAATGTTTTTAAATTACTTTTAGCTAACAATTTAATTTGTTTACTCATACTTTTAACCTTTTCGTCCATGCATTTTTAGCTATTTTTAAACTACTTTTTACATATTTTCAATTACAAAATGCATTGTACAGACATTACAATTGCCCCTATCCTCAATTCTTTTGGTGAGATACTCCATCCCTGGCAAGTCCTAGGCTACTGGTTGGATTCACTACCATTATAGCTTATCACAGACAAATATACATATTTGTCTGTGAGTTTGAATTCACATTCAGTAAAATCAATAAGGTAGTGGACTGTTTACCCTTATTTTCCAGGCAAAGCGAGTGGGCCTGGAGGAGAGAGCTCACACCATCGGTCACACAGGAAGACGCAGCCCCATCAGCTCTGCTTGTCCTCCCCATCGCTCAGCTGAAACCATGCCTCTGCCTCAGGTCTGTCTGTTATACTTTAATCGCTAAACTAAGATGCTGAACATGGCATAGTACATACCTGCTAAGCTTCAACACGTTAGTACTGTCATTGTGAACATGGTAGCATGTTGTACACGATGGTAGCTGCCTGGTAATGTCCTTGTTGTGTGTACTTGAGGAATTTAACCCTCAAGAGTGAAACAAAGGTAATCTGTGGTAGAAAATCTCTTTCACTAGCAAAATAAAAACCTTCAAATGATAAAGTTTGATAAAGGTATTTGTACTTATTAATCTACTACTACTACCACTGACCAGTGTTTGCTGTACCACCACTGTCCCACAGAGGTCATCCATTGTGCAGGTGAAGGCGCTGTATGACTTTGTCGCCGAGGAAGACGACGAGCTCGGCTTCTCTGCCGGAGACATCATCGAAGTGCTGGATCGCTCAGACACTTCGTGGTGGACAGGGAAACTACGGGGGAAAAGCGGGTTGTTTCCTGCCAACTACACAATCCAGCTGTGAGAAAACACCCCAGGCGATGCATTTACTATGCATACACACATTCGCAGACTTGCTCTGCAAGTGCAGCAGCCCCCAAAAATGAACACTTGTGGGCTGACAGTGACTCATCAAGTCTCTGCACCACATGTCAGCACTTCATCAACACACCGGTGCCCAAAGGACTGTGAGTCACTCAGCGTTTGCAGTTTATTGAACATTTTCTGTCTCAGTTATTCACAAAGGAGCAGAGACCTGTTTAACTGGCATATGAGAACTGCTGCAGATGGCACTGAGGTATGTTTTACCATTTGTATGATGGTATTTATTTTCAAGATGCCCTTTGCTGCCAGTACATCACCTGCAATCTGTTTGTGCTCCACGCTGTAAGTGTAGTCATATTTTATATCACACAAAAGTTCTGTATGAAAAATCATTTGATTTCTCAAGTCTCAATGCTTCATGTAGATGTGTGACGTCCTCGCTTCCTCACTGGTTTGGAAATAAAATTATTTTTATCACCAATTTCATGGATACAGTAAATCCAGTGCTAACTCTGAATGACAAGGGTTTTTTGGGGGGGAATTTCATAGACAGAAATAGCTACAGGATGTCTAGAGGGAATTACTGCTTTTATCCTCTCTCATGGCATTTTTGTTTCCTATATATTTTTGTTTCCTAAGCTATAGTATGTAACCTGAAATGTAGTAATAAGAGCTTTCCATAGGTCTTTTTGCAAGTACAAGCACAACTAAGCATGAGATTGACCAGCTGCACCATGGCAGCTAAAATAAGACTAGAAGGAAGCAGAGTAGGCTTTCAAAATAAAAGTTGCACTACTTCGGGGGGAATATACAGTAACACCACACAACACCGCCAATTACTATGACACTATCAACAAAAACTGAACATTAAAGGCACTTTATAGAAGAACTGAACAGATGTGTCAAATAAAGTGGACACTAAGTATAGTGTACAGTACACTGATATTGATAAAAATTTTAAAAAGAGCCATGTTGAGATAATTTTAGTCATAAATAAATAACTATACCATCGGTTAGTGAGACAGTTTTTATTAAGTTTATTAGCCAGAAGTTGCTCCCAAAGGCCAATAAAGTATAAATGACTAAGTATAAACTTGGACAAATTTACTAAGACTTTGGCTTAAAATGTGAATTGCAGTGATTCACTTAATCACATGTTGAACCACAGGAAAATAACTACTTAAAGATAAATGTATTCATATAACTATCTCCTCTGTCAAAACTGTCATTAACTCCATGCCAAGCCTGATATATTTACAATCGATCAGTGGTAAATGAACCGCAATTATAATAGTGCTTTTATAGCAAAGTACTTCACAATGTGCCTTTTCATTTGATGGAGGGAGCTGGCATTCATGGTGCTGGCCTTTGAAAATAATCTGAGCTCAGTGTTTTGCTCAGTGACACAGCTGGAGATTTAAACACCAACAATTAAAATCATGTGATTCATAGACACCCTGTAAAGATAATGTATAAACAGATAATATTTAGGAACCCTGCTTTTCTGTGTGAGTGAAATTTAAAAAAGAGTTTATGGGCATATCATCACACTAGGCAGTTTTATTCACTAGTTAGTGATTGATTGTTTGTCTTTCTTTTGCTGCCTCAAATGCATTTTGGTGAGAGTAAGGCATTAGGTTTTAACTGCACTTTCACCAAGCAGGCTAATTCTTAAATTTGTAACTGATAACAACAACAAGACATCTGAAACATGATGACTAACGGCCTCAAGTGGACAATAATTTTGTAGCTAACATACTACAAAGATCCTGAACCACCAGATGTGACGCCTTGTATTTTATGTTTAATATATGGTTTTGTGTAAAATCATGATCTGAAAACCACTAGCAATCATTCAGCTAAGTTAAAGATGGACCTCTGATCACTCCACTCGGAGTGAATTAGATGTACAGAGTAGCATAAAATGGAAATTCTCCAAAACGATACCTAAGTGTGGTATTTGAGTAAATGTACATAAATACTTTCCTCCACTGGCAATTTAGTCTTTAAGAGCCTATACGTACAGTAGATTCTAGTGGTGCAAGACAAGGGAATTTACTCCAAAACCGGCCTTTTTTAGGTATTTGTACTTTAATGGAGTATTTTCTTTTCATTCTGCTTTATACTATAGGCCACTTCTGTTACATTTCAGGGGGGAAATATTGTACTTTTTAGTCCACTACATTTATTTAACATAGTTTAAAGGCTAAACATTTGTCGATCTCATAAAACATGCCTTATGATGCCTGTGAATTATGTCTGAATTATGCCTTATCAGAAGGCATCTGGACATAGTATTTTTATGTAGAAGATATTTCGCTTCTCATCCAAGAGGCTTCAGCAGTTCTGTCTGACTGGCGGTGAGCAGCAGGTACTTATCCCACTGGGTGGTGTTTCAGTCCTTCGAAGGCCAACAATGTCCTCTAATGACTGAGTCGTTGGGGTCTGGTATCGGTGAGAGTCGCTACCTGCCTTTGAACCTTCACATGTGGACTAACGCCTATTGTCCTGGTGTGAATTCGGGTGGAAATGTTTGGGTAGAGATTTCAAAAGAGAGTTGTAGATAGATGACAAGTGAAAGCCTCCACCTGGGTCTAACCTCACCCCAGACTAGGTTTACACCCTTTTGGAACTCTGTTTAATCACTACCTACTTCCAAATTAAGGGGTACTTAAATAGGCAGAAACATGTTGTGCTATAGGCTCCCCTGTGTCTCCAATAGTTGCCAACCTGTACATGGAAGAATTTGAGGACAAAGCCCTGTCTTCCTTCACTGGTACAGCTCCCAGCCACTGGTTCCGCTACGTGGATGACACATGGGTTAAAATCAGGACCCAGGAGGTAGAGGATTTGACCAAGCATATCAACTCTGTGGATGACAACATCAAATTCACTCGTGAGGATGCCAGGGATGACTGTCTGGCCTTTCTGGATTGGGAGATGTGTTGTTTATTCTTTCATTATTTTCTTTAGAGAGCACATGGTGCCAGTTTGGACAGCGTTTTCATTTGTCTCCATACCGTGTTCAATAAAACCACAAAAGACAAACCAGGTGTTCTCCTCCTTGTTGAGCCAGGTGCCGGCACACTGCTGGCTAGTTAACTGTCAAGTATAGGACAGGGTCAGGCCAGCTCCTCTCAACCGAGCCAGCGGTCGTCACAATATCAACTCTGTGGATATCAACATCAAGTTCACTTGTGAGGATGCCAAAGATGACTGTCTGGCCTTTTTAAACTGTGTGGTTCACATAGGAGGGGAAACACTTTGACCTTGACAGAAGCCTTAAGGTGGAAGTGTATCGGAAACCTACACACATGGACCAATACCTTCTTTTTGACTCACACCACCCACTACAACGCAACACTACGACCTGGATGACTGAGAATTTGCACGGACATCTCATAAAACATGTTATAAATTAAGATGTTTATATGACTGAGGCTGAAACTATTAATGAATTAATCAATTTATCAGCAGAAAATGTACAGCTATTTTAGTAATTAGTAATCATTTAAATCAATAAAGTGCAAGAATGCTTCATAGTTCCAGCTGGAACACATTAACACATAAGTAATAATAACCTAATAGGCTATACTTGTACTCAAGTAAAGGGTCAGAGTTCTTCATCCACTGACCTGACTGACCTGAGAGTTGCTGGCAGTTTGAAAATAAAGTAGTACACAAACCTCCAACACAAATACGCTATTTGACTAATTTATTCTGAAGGTTTTATAACAGGAACTTCTGTAATAATGTGCATGACTTTAAAATGGCATGTCGAGTACCAAACTGCCGTTAACTCCGCCTCCTCCCTTTACCTGAGAGACACCTGAGCGCCCGTCTTACCTGTCCTCACAAGCATCGTGGTGTTGGAGAGCAGCAGGCCGGGGAAGCAGGAGCGACTACGTGGGAATCTTTATCTGCGATGGCGGAATCTCAGCTGATGTGCATGGACGATGAGCACGTCAACGAGAAGATCCAAGAGTCTAGACCGGAGTTTTACTACAGTGAGGAGCAGCGTGCGGCTCTGGAGCAGCTGCTGAAGAACGGGGATGGCGCCTTCAAGATGCGGCTCAAAGCGGACAACACCAAGGACTTCCTCTCCGCCAGGGAGGTTAAATGCATCCGGAAGACCTTTCAGGAATACGACACGGACAGTGAGTCTGAGTCCGGAGAGCATGAGAAGGGCAAGGAGTCCTCCAGCGCCGACTCCGGGGTCCACTCCACGTATTGGCCCCAGATGTCCGACACTAAGGTTCCGTCTCTGGACATCGGCTGGCCCGGCAGCAGCGGCCTGTACAAGGGGGTGACCCGGGTATCCGTGTACACCCATCCCCCCAAAGAGCCCGGGCCGCACATCAAGGAGGTGGTGAGGAGACTGATACAGGAATCACACAAGGTAACTAACGAGGAGGCTACACTCACACTACCCATTAACAGCGCTCGCTTCATGAATATGGGAATTTTTGTGTGTACATTTTTATGTTCAGTTTAAACTGTTTATAGCTTAATTTAAAAACCTTGCACCCATACACGAATCCCCACCAGCCTATTAGGCTGCTCAGCTTGTGTGTGTTACTTTATGGGTTTCCTGTGAGAATCCAGTGGACAACTGAATGAACAAGTGAACAAACCTCATTCAAACCCACAAGTAGACATTCTGTTCTGCTTTAAGAGCAGTTTTGAAAATAAAGCTGGATGTGTTATTTCCCAAAAACCTAGTTTATATGTACATTCTGCTACAAAGCCGCCGGTGTTAGACCTGAAATCCACAGGTAGCCCTATACCAACACATTCATAACATTCAACCGTACTGTATTGTAATATATATGAAAATAAATTAGTATATAATAAAACTTATCAGTGGTTTTATGCAATGTATAGAGAAAAAAAGCCCCTAACCTACTTGGCCCATAACAGAGTAATTGTTCAGAAATATTCAAAATGATTGGCTACAGGCGATCACATGACTATCTCCCATTGAATGAAAGAGACAAAGATCCCCAGGCTGAGTGAAACTATGCTGTTGTCACTCTACAGTGTCCTGTGTCCATGAGACAACCTCTAATAAATAACAGTATAATCGCTTTAATTGCCCAAGTATGTTATACACATAAGGAATTTGTCTTCCGTGAGAATTGAGACAGCTCACACACACACACACACACACACACACCAGTGTAGGCTCTAAACATCATGTCCCTACAAGGTGCTGACCTGGCCATTGGGAACAACTTGGGGTTCAGTGTCTTGCCCAAAGACACTTTGAAATGTGTTGAAATGTGGAATGGTGAGAACGGGAATCGAATCGCTGCCGTTAGGGGACACCTGCTCTGCCTCATGAGCCACAGCCACTCTCCTGTTTAAAAGTTTTAATTTAACCTAGACAAGTAATACTTTGATATTTATTCTTTTACAGGTAGCCTAAATATGAATGTTATTGTATATATGCTAATAATCAATGAAGGTTAATATAAGAAAAACACAAAACCCAAAGTGTTATTGCATCTGTTCCTAAAGTGACATTTGTGATTGTGATGTGTGTTTTTGTGGTGTAAATAGAATGCAGTAAAATCTGAAACAGATAATGAAAATACACAGTAGGTACCCACAGGTACTCTCACCCTCCCCTCAAGCCCAGAGAAAGTGTATACAACTGTCTTATGGCTAATTTAAGTTCTAGTAAATACATAAAAACATCATATACCTATTTACAGAATACTTATAAAACCTATTGCATATGTAGGATTTTCCAGGGAAGGGTTAACCAAGTCCACAGCATTAATAATAAATCCTTATCAATGGGAGAGTCATGTACAAGTTTTAACAAGCTGACTCACATGTGGCGCAGATGGAGAAAGTAGCTGTAAATGTCAGCTGCACATCAGGACTTGCAGCAAACAGATAAAGGCTTACCGGCCTCACCCACAACCCTGCAGCCCAGGTTAGGGCTTGGTGCCTAAAGGTATAGTACTGCAAGTCTAGCAAAAGAATGTTTACATTTTGACCAGCATATATACTGTGCAAATCCACAAGTCGTTTCTATTAGGATTTCGTAACCATGTCAAGAACGTGAGCCATAATACCGGTAGACAACAAAACTGCAGCACAGCCAACATTTGTTCGGTGTCCTCTCACATATACTGCATTTCAGTGCAGTAAACTTCACAATATAGTTGTTCCCATCGAAATAACTATCTGGGTCTGTTGTCAGACAAATTAACAAGTATGAAATAGCTATTGAATAATGGCCCATAAACACTCTTAAGTTGCTGCGCTGCTGTGATAAAATCCAAGTTAGAGACACTCGCTGGACCGGGTTAGGTTTTCGTTTACAAAAGCCCTGTTTAAACACCAAGCCGGACATACTCCTGCCTGTGAGACCGGTTTTAGTTGGAGCTTTTTCAAAGTAGCCATACTGTGGATGAATAATTGAACATAGTTGGACACAAAATCTATTAAATCTCTTTACTCTCCATGTACAGTCACATACTCAGAGCCCTGACAGTTTATTTAGCTGCTCTCATGCTACATCCTTTGAGGTGACATTAAACATCTAATCAGGGAATGTGCCGAATACTTGAGAGAGTGCTTCTACATTTCAAGACCCTGAAGTTCAAGTTATCACCCCTTTACAGAAAGGCACGTACACACATACGTACAAAAATTATGAAAGCAGAAAATGAGTCATGAGAAGGAGCCCAGCTGTATAATCTATGTTACAATGCGCTGTCTACATGACAGCTGGAGAATTATGTTGTTATTTCTGGTTTGACTGGATTGAAGAGTGACAGCAGCACTGCAGAAAATGTCTGTATTAGCAAGTCATTTATATTCACCTGCAGTTCTGAAGAAGTATACAGGTGCCACAAGAGAACAGCTTATATCAGCATGCTAACATGCTCACAATGACAAGGCTAACATGCTCATGTTTATTAGCTATAATGTTTACTATGTCCATCACCTTAGTTATGTGTGGAAATAGGTTAATATTTGCTAATTACCACTAAGCACAAAGTACAGTTGAGGTATGTGGTCGTAAAACAAAGTATTGGACAAAGTGGAATTTGTACTCGATGCTCTAGAATAAAAATTAAAGGAAAAATTTCACATTTTAGGAAATTTGCATATTGGCATTCTTGCCGACAATTAGATGAGAAGATCAAAACGACTCTGGTATTTGTCCAAGAAAGAAAGAAAGAAAGTATCTGTCCATTATATATAAATAAATTCATTCATTCAGTCATTTTCTACCGCTTAGTCCCTGAACGGGGTCACGGGGGTTGGGGCCGGAGCCAATCCCGGCCGGCAATCGGGTGAAGAGAATAGTTTCAATATTCTCATCTGTCTCTGGGAATTAAAGTGAAATTGCCTGTTTCCCAAAACAGACAACTGTTCCTTTAATAAATCACCAGAGTTTCTAGAAGTCACCCTGAGGCCGACAGATGTCAAGGTGATACATCTAATAGTTGTACAGAAAATTCACTGAAAACCACAAATGTCCAGCTCATGGTGGCACTAGAGGACATGTCAGAGGGTCTATTTCAGTCCAAAGTAACCAATCACAAGGGGAGTAGGAACATCTGTTACAGCTGCCATCTAAGACTCCAGAATAAAACAGAGAAAGGTTATCCTTACTGTGGTGGAGTCTATGAACAATCTTAAATTGAATAAGGTTAAGTCAATTGATCTTCTCTAAAATTCCTCCATGAAAGAATGTGCATTTTATTCTCTTGATCTTCCCTGATCTTATTTATTGCTGAGCAGTTAGGTATAATAAGACTATAAAAGATATAGCCCCTGGTTGGCATCAAGTCAACGCTTGAAGGACGTGTAATTTAAGGGGAGTTAGTCAACTAAATCTTAACAAAGTTTTGTGGTTGAATGTATCTGAAAAGTCCAAGTTATTTAAATCAAAGTATTGTTGTTCAAAGCTGCAGAACTGGTCATTATTGTATAGGTCCTTAAGTCATTGCAGACTCCTACGAGCCAGATAAGAAAATCTGGCGTCCATTTTAGCGGCATCTAATTTGGCCCCAGATCTTCAGAGCGCCAATAACAATGGGAGATGAGAAGCTGCTGACATGTATTTTATTTAGATGCAGGCACAGTTTACTTTCACTGATTGATGCCATTTAGGATTCTGTTGAACTGTTGTGACACAGAAAGCTGTCTGTCAGGAAAATTTATTTGCAGGCTGTTGGATCACACTCAAATATGTAGACACGAGCTGCAGTAAGGAAACACATGATTACTCTGTAAACTGATCTCAAGGAAATAAAAACCCAATGTTGCTGTAAAACACTCTACTGCACATAGTCATCATGCGTTTTACAGTGGTGGAAAGTCAGCTAAGTACATATATTCAAGTACTATATTTAAATACAATTTTGAGGTATCACATACTTTATTAATGTTTATCTCCTGCTTTTAAAACTATTAGCAGGGCATGATAATTGTAGCCATTTTTGTTCTGCCATGAGTCAACTTTAACCATCTGGAAAAACCAGTTCAACTGAAGTATCAACCATTAGTGGGTCTAAACATCATGTGCTTACATTATGTATCACATACTGTACGTAATGATGTGTTAATGTTTTGTTTTCACTGTGCTCAGTGAGAGTCAGAGTGGTGAAAATATTTATTTGTCTTAATATTGTTGAGTCAGGGTTGTGTCAGGAAGGGCATCCGGCGTAAAACACGTGCCAAATGTCAACATGTGAATCGTGCTGGGTTTGGCTGCTCACCCACCCATAAATAATGAAATGTAACATCAGTAACATGCACACAACTCGGTAATCTTTACCAACCTAGATGGTTTGAGACATTCTATCATACACCCTGTATTCTGCTATAATTGAGTACATAGTTCTGGCACTTTTAATGTCTTCGGGTGTCTTACTGTGTTTTTAATATTTGTTTATTGCTATGCTGCAAAAAGGTTGAAAGGTCCAAACTGCTGTTGTGTTTCTGTCTGACTGCATTTGAAACCAAACCTCTGTGCTGTTCCAGGTGGTGGCCATAGTCATGGACCTCCTGACAGACCTGCAGATCCTCCAGGACCTTCTGGATGCATCGTCACGGCGCGGGGTGGCCATCTACGCTGTACTGGAGGCCAGTGGAGTGTCCCACTTCCTGGATATGTGCAATCGACTGCAGATAAATGCAGTCCATTTGCGGGTGAGGAGTGAGCTTTGCAAACAGTGAACAACCTGACAGACTGCTAACAAAGGGTGGAGGCTCACTAATACAGTTCAACATTAGTGGGTCACTGCTGTCACTGTAGTAGACGATTATAGTCACTGCAGAAATGATCAAGGATTAAAGTGTGTCATGTATCATATGTCATGCCCTTCAGGAAATTCCTGACAAGGGGACCCAGAGGTGATTCATCCGGTTCTGATACAAAGTCTAGTTTTATTACCCACATGGACAATATTTGATGGCTTATTAATGGTTATGAAATATTTTACAAATAAATTATAGATCAGCTAAAAACCATTAATAAGAAACACCTTCGGGTTGCCAGATTGTCTAAAATCCTTCTCTCTTCTACTACGCTTTGTCTTTCTACAGCCGCTCTTTAATTTATTAGTGAGCCCTCAAGGGAATAATAACCGCTCTACTCTAGATCTCATAAAGGTTTGATCCATCCAAATCACACAAATCAAAAATGTAACATGCAAATAGTTTCGGTTTTGTTTGCCAAGATTTTCAGATCTTCGTCTTTGTCTTCACCACAGCACAGTGGAGCAGGAAAAAAAAATCATTTTTACAGCTCAAAGCCCTGTAAAACTCACTATGACCGGACCATTGTTTCTTTTTTCCTGGAGAGGTGTCCAGAGTTTTTAATAGGAACTATTTTCTATCAAACAAACAAACAAACAAAAAAATTCAGAGCATGGACATGGACACTATTTGTACAATGGAAGTGTTACAGTTTTTTTCAGAGATCATATATGTCAGCATTTTGATCTCAAAACATCTGCAAAAATACAACTATTCTATTGTATGTTTTCTTTTTTGTGATTTGGGTAGACAGTTTAACCCCTAGGTGCACAAGAGGTCATTTGACCCTACAATCTACTGCAAGTGAGTCAAAAAGGACCTATAATAAAATAGATAATGGATTTTATATAGATTTTTTGTCAGTAATGAATACAGGCTATTCTCATAATGCTGCTTAAAGTGATTAAATGAATTCCAAACTTAAAGTAACATTTTCATAATCAAATGTGTACATATTACAGTCTACCTCTATAGCTGCTTCTTAGCTGCTTAGTTATGGCAACAGTTCATTCACATCTGTGGTCATTTTAGCAAGCTAATGTTAGCCAGTTATAGCTATATAGTCAGTAATTTAATCATGTGTAACACTATGACCCGGATGACTGTGAACTTGCATGATCTTACTGTGTAAAATGAAGGGGTAGTTTGGCAGCCCTGTTAGCTACATAGAAAGTTAATGAAGTAGCTCAACTATCTGAATAAAAAAACATCCACATCGAGTCATCTGAAAACACAACACATTTAGTGTGTGAAAGCTAGTTGATGAGCAGAGAAGATGAAACAAGTACAAGTAGAGTAAAATAGGTAGCTGCAAGCAATGGATAAATAAATGGCAGCATCAATAGAAAACTTGAATTAATCACCTCATTAATCATCTGAGAAAAAATGTTGAGAGCTGCTGGTCTTCAGTACATACTGTATATTCCTTAAAGAAACTGATAAAAAGGAAAGACCCCTGTGACCTTCGTTAGGAAATGCAAGCATATAATTTTTAACCCACACAAAAAAATATTGGTTTTGATATTAAACCCTAAATTTAAAAAAGGTAAAAGTGATAAGTAACAATTTTCAATGGGGAGTATCGAGCGTGATTTTTGAATATCTGAACTATTAAATGCTGAAATACACTCTAGTTGCGTTCTTTTTGACCTTATTATGCATCTTACTTTTTCAAATTAACATTTAATAATGTTGTATGCATTGCAGAACCTTAGAGATGGCAGTCGGTGCTCATCTAGATTAGAAGTGAACAGCCGCTCACTGAGCCTGGCTGTCATCCTATCCCCACAGGGATACAATATCCAGTCTTATCTGCTGTATGCAAGGTTTTCTAGCTCCAGTCTGGTCTAACTGGGGCACTGGAGTCCCTGGCTATAGTGGCGTCAGTTGATACGGCTGTGAAAGGCCTTTTCAGGATGCTGGGCTCTGTTACTCTTACTTCTTACAAATGAACATTCATAGCTCCTGAGAACAGAGCCAAAGTACGTAACTGGATGCTTTGCCTCCATGCCGGCGCAGGCTGCGGAGACTCCTCCCAGTGTGCCTACTCAGTATTCACATCTCCTTTTCTTTCTGCTTCCTATCTCTTCCCTCAAAGTAAACACACAGTATGTGACTAAAGGGTTTGGGTTTTATCTTCTATGTCATAAGAGCAGTTTCACTTGGCGTCAGTCACATGCATTATATGGCAGGGAACATTTGATAGCTGTGGCTGGCTGAGTTTACTCAAGCTTACCTGTGTGATGCTAAGCCTGGTGAAATGTGTAATTAAGTGGGTGTTTCTTTACAGAATCTCCGTGTGCGGATGGTGAGAGGTGCGGGGCTGGCCTTGTCGTTTGGAAAACTGCCAGGCTCCTTAAGCTCCAAATACATGCTGGTAGATGGAGAGAAAGTCATGTTTGGGTCCTACAGGTGAGAATGTCTCTGTGAAAAACCAGCAACACTTTCAGTTCACACATCCAACCATTAACAGATTTCTGTAGGGATTTTAACATCACATAGAATTCAATTCAATAGATGGACTCACAGTAAAGTGGAGATACAAACTCCTGACAAATACTTGACTCAGACTCCCTGTAAAAATAAGCTGACTTAAATGTTTTGGATACAACATGAAGAGTGAAGCTCCTGTGTACAACAGCTTGTTGGTCTTACCTGGTCCTGGTTGGTCTTACCTGACCTAGGTCAGCCTGTTTGGCAAACCATGTGACCGCATCAGCGCTGAAGCAGCTTTCATTTCATCTTATAAACACCTCAGTCATGCACTAAAGTCAAACCTGGAATGACTGATTCAAGCCAAGTGAAATGAGCACATGTTTTGACTTGTGTGATACCTAATTATGAAAGTTTTCTGTCAAGTTTTCAAAGCTTTTAAGCTGTGAACAGTCTCTTACTGCTTCTTCGGGTGGCCCTGTTAAAATGCAGTATGAGAATAGTATCAGTCTTCGCATCTAACTCTTGGCAAGAAAGCAACTACATTGCTTTCTAAATTTCCCAAATTATCTAACCAATCCTTTAACAATTCATTTTTAAACATGAGTTTACTTTTATACTACTATTTGGTTTGTTCTCCTCTTTGCTCCTCCAGTTTCACCTGGAGTTCGTCTCGGTTGGACAGGAATACGATCACGGTGATGTCAGGACAGGTCGTGGACTTCTTTGACAACGACTTCAGGGAGCTGTATGCCGTGTCTGAACAAGTGGACCTGTACAAGGAGTTCAGCATCACCAAGCCGCCTGTTGCACCCATAATCAAGCCAAAGGTGGAGCAAAGCAGGCCTCTGTCCATCGCCACATCTCGCTTTCAAGCATCGGTCGGGGACTCCAAACAGACTGATCTGAAAGTGCCTGCACATAAATACCACAATCCCAAGTACTCTCTGGTTTTTGGGAACAGTATTGGCCTGACACGTTCCCTGCAAGACCTTTCCACTCCAAGCGACTCGCTGACTAGTGGACTGAGCCAGAGGAATGTCCTGCAGAATAGCTTCCTTCGTGAAAGTATGAACAGCAGGGAAATGGCGGCACCAGCTTCCCCCCAGAGTTACAGTTCACCTGCAGAGGAGGAGGATGACAAAGGAACAAGAAGCTTGAAGAAGCCTCCAGGTTCAAAGAAACAACGCAGCTCCTTGAGGTACTTCTTAAAAGGCAGAGGAGCCAATCAGAGCACAGAGATGATACAGGAAGGTGTGCGGAGTCCCCAGAGCCCCTCCCCCACATGTAAAGTATCAGAGACAAACGGTATGGCTGGAAATGAGCTGGAGGACTCATTTGAGATCTTGGAGAAACCAGGGCCATTGAAATCCAAAGCCAAGAAGTCCTTTAAGCTCAGTCAGAGAAGTATGTCCATGCAGGCCATCAACGCAGGAGACGAAGATGGTATGTCACCAGATTTCTGTAATATCTCAGTGTTTCTATTTGTTTCATCATGATCCAAATCAGGGCTGCAACTAACATTATTTAATATTTTCTGGATGAATCAATACGTGTGTGATAAGTGAGTTACACTTTTCTGTGTGACTTTCCACCATATTCCACTGAAATCTGCTGCTTTTTGAGTTGCCTGCTAAACACACAAAAATTGTAATTTTGAAACCCATCATATAATTCAGGAGCTATTAACCCAGCATGTGATTCTGTATCTGAAGATTTTTGATACTCACAGCTACAAATAGAAATCAGTTTGTGTTTAAAGTAGCCATAATCAATGTTTGTTGTAAAAAAAGAGGAAGGAAAAGCTCTAAAATCCCCTTGTACACTACCTGCTCAGCAGAAAATAGCAGATACACACAGGTAGAGACTAGCTGGAGAACATGGTGCAGCATTTAGCAGAGCAAGACCCACATATATTTTTTCTTTGTGATATTAATTTGCCTTTTTAAGGTTTTTATTTCTTACTGTGCTTTCTTTCTTTTTTGTTTCAACAGAATTCAAAAGCCGCCGGCGGCATTACAATAAAAAGAATTGCATCCAGTCATGAGATGAAAAACAAGAGGGCATTGGGGTTATAAAGAGCACCTGGAGGATCTGATGGTTAAACATTACACACCAGCTGAGTCCCAGTATCACCTTATGTCGCCATGTGATGTGTTACATGTAATGAGTGCAGGCAATGTCTCTGGCCCAGTGTACCAAGTCCTTTGCTTTGCCTTATGAGAAACACCACTAACAAGATGTTGTTGTTTAACTAATCATGTGAGGGAAAGGTCCTACACAAATTCTCTTAACTTTGTAGCCAAAGTGCTACTGGAGGGATATTTCATTGCCATTGTTTTTTTTTCTGTCTTTTGTATTAAATTATTCTACAGTGTTGTTTTTAATACGTTACTTTTTACTTTTTACAACTGGTGGTGTGGATTATGACATGCCTGCGGTTGCTATGGAGACAGCAAAAGTGATGAGCTGTGTTGTCCCTGAGTGTTGTCTCACCGAGGACCCTGATCAGAGCGTGTCGTACAGGCTGTGAATAACACACGCTGCGTTGAGAGGCCGCGTGTCGACAGCCCTGCTTTTTCAAACTCTGTTGTTTCTAAGCCTGTTTCTGCACGCCTTATGAAGACCTTCATGTTTGCACTTCTGGACTTGGTTTTTTATCCAGGTGAAACTGGCAAGGATTAAAAATGTGAATCTTTGAGAACCACTTGAAATTATTATTTTTTTTGTAATAAAATTGGAATAAAAGACATGAAAACGGTTTAAAAAATTGTGCTTGTGTGATTACATGTCGAGTAAAATTCAGTGTAAATCCAAACATCTTATAGTTCAGTGAACTCCTTACCTTTATAATCCTCAGCTCAAATCGTTCCAGGTGTACAAAGAAAGATTTTGATGTTTGGACAAAATACCTGTCAGAATAACAGTGCAGTTCAAACACCGGCACAAACATTTTTCAAAATGATCATACCGTCAAATCAACACTGCTTTAAAAGGGCTCAGTTAAAGACTGAACATTATCGCCTTCATGAAGGAAGATTTATTGCCGGACTGTTGGATTAGACTGCATTAACTTGAACTAAATAGGTGTATCTGATAAACTGCCAACAGTGTATATGTGGTGTTAAAGTATGAACTTCAACTTGTCTATCCCTGTAGAAATCCTGTTTAACATCTCCAAAGCATGTTTGTGTTTTTTTGTGTAACCAACTTTGGCACAAAAGCTGTGATAGCGGGTGAGTTGGCTGCACTCTGACGTTTTTACTGCATCCGTAGCGCTGAACCATTCCTCCAGCGTTGTTCCATTCATTTAACAATTATTCTGCTGGTAGCTTCACATGAAATAATCAGATGCTTAGAGTTCCAGAAATAAAGCTGAAGTTTTGTGCCTTTAAACAATTTTTTGGCTGCACTGCACTGGTTAGTAAAGACAAAATTCACCTACACTAAGTTTCAGCAAGAAAGAGAAGAAAGATGTTTCCAAAAATGTCAAACATAGCCTTCGTAGGGTTAATGATTCTTAAGGTTTAAATATGCCTAATCTTCCATTTGCGGAGGGCCGGGTCCTCTTTACTCAAACATTGCTTTACCCTCTTGATTTTTCCTAATTTTATAATACCTAATATGTCTCTGAACCGGAGACACGCTTCAAAGTTCTGCTACATTCATTATATTTGTAAAAAAATGATTAAATATGCTCTGTGATTCATGCTTACAAGCCTTTTTCCAGAAGGTCAGATGAAAAATTAAGTGAGGCCTATTGACGCACAGAATAACCAGGAAATAAAGCCAATGCCAACAAAACACAAGGGAGTCAATATCACACCCTCCCATGATGCAAGAAAACACTCTGAAGAAATGTACCTCACAAAAAAAAGCACGGATGTTTGTTTTATTTTTTATTTTTACCTCCTTCTTTTGGTGTGAACCTGCTCTCAGGAAACCACAACTTTGTAAAACAGCATCACACATGCTTATAAAACAGGAAGCCTTTATGCATCCGATACTTTCTTAATCTGATAAGAAGGAATATTAATCTGAAAAGTACTAAAAATGACAAGATAAAACAAAATTTATCAGCCCCGCACATCATCATTACGGTAATAATATGATGATAGCATTTTGTGGGTGACATTTAAAGTTCTTATTTGAGCATGAGCTTCCTGATAAAGGAAGTGAAATGTAGCAATGATTTACCGCCATCTGCTGGAGAAACAGTCACACAAACATCTTTAGAATAAACCAGTTTATTTTACAGCAAATAGTTTGGTTGTCTCTTCAGTATAAAAGCATTAAATTATACATACAATAATTTAAAAAACACTGATATTAAAATATGTTCAAACAAATAAAAACATAATATATTGTACAACTTGTGCAAATTAATATTTTAAGAAGTTGAATAGATTTTTGGGTGGCGTTTGTGCTTTTACATTCTATTTACTGTATATCAATTTAAGAACTGACATTTACAGGAAAGAAAAGGATGTTATTCACAAGAATTGATGAGTAAGCAAAGTAAGAAATGTGGAAAAACCTGACAGCTCATGGTCTGTGGAGTTTACCCTAAATCCTAATATTTGGGGTTTTTCCCCTCTCCTTCTAAAATGTCTCTGTTCAAGACACCCAGAACAAGTTTAACAAAGTGCTACATACTCTTCTCCTACTGATCCAGTTAGCAATATTTTATCAAATTTTCCAGCTCGAACTCTGCAGATTAAAGTGTGTGAACAGCAGATTGAGGCTGATTTAGAATTGTTTGAACGGGGGGTAGCAAATGAAAACCAAATAAACAACTTAACAAAATATTTTGACATGAAATACAATTGATAAATAATTGTTGTTTGTCACTTCAATTGGCCTAGAGCCTTAGAAAGGTTATGAGACACTGATCCTGTGGACACAGACATACAGAATGTCCTCCACCACTTCAATAGATGTGATGGTCACAGTGGTCATTTTTTGTCTATAGTGGTCGTTTTTGTGTCTGTGTAGTCATTTTGCATTACTTTGTTGTTAATTTGTGCCATTTTCTGGCTCTTTGTGGTCATTCTGCTTTATTTTGTGATCGCTGTGTGCCTCTTTGTGGTCATTTTGGATTTCATTCTAGTCAATTTTTTTCCTTTTTGTGATTGTTTTTGTCTGTTTGTAGTTGTTTTGCATTGCTTTTAATCCATGCTATGTGATTTTGCATTGCTTTTTATCCATTTTATGTGATTTTGCTTGTTGTTTCGTCTCATTAGGGTCATTTTTGCATCTCTTTTTAGTTTCTATTGTATCTGTTTATGGCCATTTGACTTCCCAACATGAAATTTCATGTATTAGTCTCTGGGCCTGCACCCAGCAGGCCCATTCAGTAATCTGATGACATTAACAGTCTGACTCCCTGCTGTACCAGCTTCTGACTCTGGGACACCAGGGGAAGTCTCTGCCCTGTAGGCCGTCTCTAGCCCTGCCTCAACAGCAGATGTGTCTCCGTAGGAGCTGTCAGCCCCTGACGTCAGAGCAGTAGTGCACACAGTTTGCACAAGGAATGTGAAGACTTTACGCTGCAAGCGACAAATTGTTCACTTTTTTTTTTCATTTCACATTTTAACAGTTGTCTCTTCCTAATTTCTACATTTATATGAAATGCTATGTGCTTCAGTTTTGGCTTCATTTTTCCTGAACGGTCTCTGTTGTAAAAGTCACAAGATGATTTATCCATAAAAATATCCAGAATCCAACTCAGATGGTGTTTCAGTCCTATGAGGAAGTGTTGCTAATGACCCTCCTTTTACGTAGACACACCAAGTCATAAAAAGGGTCCTTGGTGATGCTTGTCCTGTAGAAAAGAGATTAAGTTAGAAACTGAGATCATCAGGAACAGCAGCAGTGTTAACAGGGGTCTTCCTCCCATTTAGCCGGTTTATAGACTCAGTAACCACCCCATCTAACTCACTAATTAATATATCTTGTTTGTTTAATCTGCATAAAATCTGAAGGTTAAAAAGATAATTTGATGTTGCACTATTTCTTGCCTCTAAGCTGTTGCCAGGAAACCAACTCAGACTCTAAATTACCGGTCCCAGCCAAGAAATTCTCTAGTTCATGACCTCCCGTATAATTAAGCCGCACTTTTAGATTTGATATGGTAAATATGAAGGTTTGGAGACTAAGTGAAACTCTTCTGGTGATCTAAGGTCACTTGTTTTAACTCCTGATCAGCTTAGTGCCAGTGTAGGCTTTGACAAATACTGAGGCACATGACCTCCCATGTGTTCTCCACAGGAACAGCAGCTCTCACCTGATCGCCTCTATCCAGTTGTCCCGTTCTTCTTCACTGGCTGCGCTGAGTTTATAGGATTGGTGTTTGCCCTGCACCACTCTGCCTTTGTTCTCCGTCTTGCAGGCCTTGATCTTTTGTCCTTTGGGGTTATATAACTCCAGACAATACTGTTAAAATACACATGTAGCACAGTTATGCTTTCTGTTTATTTTAAGTTTTCTGACAGCCTCATGACTCACTGTTTTGAGAACTTGGGTCAGAAATTCATTTAGCAGCTGCTGCATGATTCATTAAGTTCTGTGGCAGCAGAGACTATGTGCAAAGAAGCTCATTGCTCCTTTATATACTGTGATACCAAACTTGAATGGTAGTATACCGGTTTGCTTGTGTCCTCTAGCTTCCTGACACACAGGTTCTCCAGAGGAATAATCCCAATTGGATCCTTATCCTGTAGAAGAATATTAAGACAGATTAAACCTTTCAACCACTAGGATGATGTTTGCAATTTCTGTATTTTGCTGTTGGAAAGGTTATCGAGCAGCAGAGAGACAGAAACCCACTGTGGTGTATTCAAAGTAGTACAGGCAGCTGTCTGTCAGAATGAACCACCTCCTCTTCCAGGTTTTAATGCGGCCACCTGCAGCAAAGAAAACAATAATGTAAGGAAAACAGGTTCACTCAGTTGTAATCTCCACCGAAAGCCTGTAATCAACGCTGAATTTTCCCATGTTTTTTAAATAGGATCATCTCACCGATTTTAAGGAGCCAGCCCTCTCTGTCTGGATTAAAAAATGTCAATGTGAGGTCATTCCCATCATCCTCTGGGATTTTGAACGGCTCACTGCGGATGCTTGTGTACAGTTTCTGGAACACATTTCAAGAAAGAGGAGGATGTCTGGTTCAATATCAAATGCAACTGTATTACCTTTCAAAATTATGATTGTCCTTAAAAACTGATTTAGACAGAAGAGGAATTAAAGCCCTCTTAGTTTTATTTATTTATTTATGTTTTAGCAAAACCCACAATGGGTGTTGAACATTTGACTCAATGGTTAATAAACTTTGCAGTAAAAGTGTCCACAATGAAAAAAGGGTGATTTCTGTCAGAGTGAAATAAAATGCAATGAAAATCCAGAAGTTTGGAGAAAAGTAAATAAAAATATCCACAAACTGGGGATGAATGACATGAAATTTCCTCCATTTTTTATGCTTTACATATACTGTATATGTATAAGCTGTATTTTAGTCTATAATGTTGACAAATTAAACATTTTTAGCCAACAGTTATTATATTGGCTTAGTGTTAAGATGTGTAAAAACAGTAAAGTTACATATAAGTAAAATATTTCCCTCTGAAACATAAAGCTAAACATGTTTGAAAAGCTGACATTTTGGAGCTTTTGTAGAGATTCCTGAGGGTGAATTATAAGAATTCTGACCATTTCTCTTGTGCCGCCACCAGGTCAAATAACTACAAAACTGCTGACACTGTCATCAGCCTCATCTGTACTTTGTGTAAGTGTTAAACAGCAAACATTAGCATGCCATGCTAACATGGTAAATTAAGATAGTGAATATGGTAGACATTGCAGCTCATAAACCTTCAGCACATTAGCATGTGAGCATGCTGACATAAAAATGTACAATATAAAGAGTGTAGAACTGAATATATCCCTCAAGAGGAAAAGTAGGAATATTGCCAAATGGAAATTCTTCAGTAGACCTCTACCTCAAAGTTTTGCTGAAGTAGCCTACACTGTTTGAGTGATTGTATTTCACCGAGTTTTTTCATAAACATGAATTTTTCAGGGTATTATGAAAAGGGCATTAGGACTCTGGCATTAGCAGCTGACCGTGAGCAGCTCGGTGGGCAGGTCTTCCCCATTGTTGATTCCTCTGTTCATGGAAACAAAACGCTGCAGACTGGGTTTGTCTTTCACATTGGGGTTGTGGAGACTCGTGTTGAGCATAATGATGGCAAAAGACAGGATGTAGCAGGTGTCTGTCTCACACACACACACACACACACACACATACAGAAAGCCACAATGAGTTTCCTTCTACACTTCAGCTGCATAATTTGCCCTCATTAAAAGTAACAGGTTTCTGTGAGAGTTGCCTCGGCAAAAAACTTATACTGACCAAAGATCTTACTGTGAAAAGAAAAAGTGTAAGTTGATTCTTCTTAACAGCAAATAACTTATCTTCTAGAAGGTTTAGAAACAATAATAAAACTTTTTATGTGGCAGTCTGAGGAAATGAATCAGAGAAAACAAAGTGCTTTGTGCTTGTACCTGTGGACTGGAAGACCCCTGGGTTACAGCCACAGTAGCGAGCTGCAAACGCCTCCATCATCCTGTCAATTTTCTGAGCTTCTCCTGGGAGACGAAAGCTCCACAGAAACTGCCTGCAAAATGGGACGTAAGGAGAAGGAGGAGGATGTTCAGGTCATCAGAAAATAGAAGTCAGACGTAGAACTGTTGCAACATTTCATGCTGACTTTATTGCTCGTATGCATGTGAAAATGAGTTGATGACACAAACCTCAGCGCCTGTACCAGATTCAAATCTGAGAATTCATGCAGACCCACAAATGCTTTCAGTATCTTCAGATACATTTCCTCCCTGTGTGAGGGTCCAAGGAAATAGAGATGAAGAAAAAAGAAAATTGATTTATTTAAATTAGAACATAAAATTAAAGGCTGATATAATGTTGATTCTCTCAAAACAGTATTGCTTTTTTTGGCAATATCCATATTACCTTTCTTTCTGAGAGTTAAATATATATAAGATAAAAATCACAAATGAGCTAATTGCTGTCTCTTGGCTGTTCAAGCTAATACAATGTTATCTTACTGATCATGTTTGTTGTGTAATAATTATTGTGCATTGAGCAGTGTCACTCTTGTCATATGATCCTTCTCTAGACATTGCAAACAAAAATAGAGGAGGTTCATTTATTAGATGACAGACCCGCAGATGAAATGGTGAAATTCTCTTACAGCATAATCTTAGTAGAGAAACTGAAAAACAGATGTGTTTTTTCATATTGAATTAAATGGAAGCATTCATATAACTATTCATAATGATTTGATTTGATTTTGATTTGATTTATTCTTTCAAACATGTAACGACAGTCAATATGTCAACACATATAATTTCACACATATCCACAAATACATTATCAATTTGCTTATACCTAGTACATGCTTGAATAGAGTAGGAAGAAGTTAGACTTATCCAGTCCTACCCCATAACATCATCTTACCATCATTGGTTTGCAAGCAGTATTACTACATAGATAATTATGTTCTACACCACGCTAGTGATATACTAAAAAATATTACAGACTGTTAACATTCTTACATAATTACGTACTTTGCTAATTATCTTCTACATCACACAAGTAGCAATAGTACATAGTGTTAACATTCATACACCACACCCACAGTGTTACAGCTGATTAATCATTGAGCCTGTTCTTGCCCATATCTTGATTGACACGTACCTTTATATTTATGTTTAAACTCCTCAATTCTCTTACTGTTTTTTATGTCCACACTTAAATTATTCCATAGTTTTACCCCACTTATGGAAATACA